TCGCCCTCTTCGCCCTCCTCGCTTTCCTCGCCCTGGTAGGCCGCCATCCTCGCCTCCCTCCCCGCCTGGACCGAGCGCGTGGCGCGCCACGGGGCCGCCGCGGCGGCCCGCGGGCCTCGGCCCCCCCGCCGCCTGGGCGCCGCGCGGCGGCCTGCGGTCCATGGCCGGCGCCGCCGGTCGCGAGGCGCGGCCCGAGTCTCGCGCGGCCAGCCGCAGACGCCGCCGGCCTCCGCCGCCGCCGAGGGCCCTTTCCGCCGTGGGGAGCCCTGCGATCCTGGCGTCGCTAAGTTTGGTCGCGCCGGGCGTCGGCGCTCGGCGTCGGGCCCATGGGGCAGTCACAGATCGAGGCGGCTCCAAGAGGGGCGCAGGAAGGGGGTCCTGCGGTTCGGGTCGTGATCTGCTACGATGTTGCAAGTTTTGGGCGGCGTCGGATGTCCAAGAACAGGCTCGGCACGGCTCGGGCGCGTGCAGTTGTTTGCGTCTTCCGGCCAGGGCCACGGAGGAGCCTCTCGGGATCGTCTCGCGAAGCCGAGCACGCGCACACACTTGGTGCGTCGGCGGCCAGGCGGAGGGACTGCGCTGGCGGGAGGGCAGAAGTTGGACGAGCAAGTGCGAGTTAGGCCGCAGTGCACGGGGGAACACCCGGCGACGGCGGGGAGAAGGAGGCGCCCGGGCCCTCTCGAACGCACGCACACGCACGCACGCACGAAACCGAACCATGCAGGGGGGATGGGCGTCGGAGGGATGGCAGAAACAGGGGTGGCAGGAGGGGGGCGTTGGTAGGTTCTGGGTGAGAAATGGTGGGGTGGGGGGTCCCAAGAACAGAGCTCTCCCGGGGTGGGCTGTCAGGCCAGGCGGGGGGCGTTGGTAGAATCTGGGGGAGAAATTGCGAGGTGGGGGGTCCCACAAACAGAGCTCTCCCGGGGTGGGGATGTCAGGCCAGGAGGGGGGCGTTGGTAGGTTCTGGGCGAGAAATTGTGGGGTGGGGGGTCCCAAGAACAGAGCTCTCCCGGGGTGGAGATGTCAGGCCAGGAAGGGGGCGTTGGTAGGTTCTGGGCGAGAAATTGTGTGGTGGGGGGTCCCAAGAACAGAGCTCTCCCGGGGTGGGGATGTCAGGCCAGGAGGGGGGCGTTGGTAGGTTCTGGGCGAGAAATTGTGGGGTGGGGGGGGGTGGGGATGTCAGGCCAGGAGGGGGGCGTTGGTAGGTTCTGGGCGAGAAATTGTGGGGTGGGGGGTCTCAAAAACAGAGCTCTCCCGGGGTGGGGATGTCAGGCCAGGAGGGGGGCGTTGGTAAGTTCTGGGCGAGAAATTGTGGGGTGGGGGGTCCCAAAAACAGAGCTCCGCCAGGGTGAACATGTCAGGCCAGGAGGGGGGCGTTGGTAGGTTTTGGGTGAGAAATTGTGGGGTGGGGGATCCCTAAAACAGAGCTCTCCCGGGGTGGGGATGTCAGGCCAGGAGGGGGGCGTTGGTAGGTTCTGGGCGAGAAATTGTGGGGTGGGGGATCCCAAAAACAGAGCTCTCCCAGGGTGGGGATGTCTTTCCAGGAGTGGGGCGTTGGCCGTACAGGTTCCCGATCACCAGCGAAAGCTGCACGTGCGGGAAGGGATGTGCGGAAAAGCAGAACGACGCAGCTATCATAAAGGTGGTCCAGATCGCTCAGGACGCCCAGGCAGGGTACGCGTGCGATTGCTGCACGAAGCGCCAGCCTATGGCCTTCCATGAAGTTCGCGAGTGCTCCAAAGGGATCCAGAAGCTCAGGCGGCAGTTGCACGGGGAGAACGCGAACTACGTCGGCATGAGCGACGCCTACGGGAAAGGCATCGTTCGCCGCGGCCAAGTGGAGTGTGCGAATCTTCGAGCGTATGCCGTGGAGAAGGATGTGACGTCGGCAGAGTCGATCAAGTCTTGTGAGACGGCCAGTTTCTTCGGACGCGAGTACGTAGAAACGGTTGAGAGGTTGTCCGACGGCACAACCGGAGGGCGCAAGGCTCAGTTCGCGGAGGTGGACATGCGAAATCCAAGGCGGCGGAAAGTCACTGTCAGGGACGTTGCCATGTTGTACGGGCTTCGTCCAAATCGGGACGGCCTGTGGCACTTGTCGCCGTGCGAGTTCACTACGTTTTGGAGGCCCGTGCTCGTGTCATACCCTACCAGTCTCAGGGGCGCTGACGCCGATCTGGACAGGCACCATGCGTTCTTGACGGCGACAGGGGAGCAAAAAGTAAAGGCAAACGGTCGGAGTCAGGGGCAGGCGGAAGAGCTAGTGCCTGGGGTGGATTACATGGTGAAGGGCGACGCAGGGAAGGATTGGGTGGCGTACCCGGACACTGATGGATGCCGGCACCTGCGACACACGTGGGTTCTTGTCAGGAACAAGAGGCCTATGGCGCCAACCTTTTTCGGGGCACCGGTGCCTCGCAGCCGACATGGAGAAGCTGAGCGGTCAGCGCGAATTGTAATGTCCTACTTCCACCCGTGGACGTTGCGACAGTCAGAGGCCGACAATCACGTGGTGTTCGCAGGCGCACTGCGACGGGCCGCGAAAACGTGGGAAGCCGCCATGGTTGCGCGGTTGGACGGCGGAGTGCAATCGGAAGAAGCTGCGCGGTACGTTGGGAACTTCCTGAGCGTGTATCGCGTGCGTCCGAGGGATGCGGAGCATGACGAGGCTCGGAGTGACGAGGACGTGAGCGACGAAGAATTGGAGGTTGGATTCGACCAGCTGGACGAGGCTCTGAAGTCACGCGTCGGGGGTCGGAAGCGGGACGACGGCGACGGTGACAGCAGTTGTGAAGAAGAGGTTGGTGGGGTGGGAGGTGGTCTTAGTGGCTGTACACATCACGAGAACTCGAAGGCAGGCATGGCCAAAGCCCAGGAGGTGTGGGGTCAGCGCCCAAACGAAAAGTCGCTGAGTGAGGTGCGAAACGCGTGGCCCAGAGGCGTCGAATGTGATCTGGAGGCTGTTCAGGCCGCAGCAAGGGCATCGCGCAACAAGGAGAAGTCAATGGCCGACAGAGTGGCTGCGGAGGATAGGAGTGGGAAGGTGGAGGCTCAGGCAGGGGCGACATCACAGGAGATTGTAGAGTGGCTCAGAAAACTGGAGTATCGGACTGACAAGGACACAGGCCGACGCGTGGTCAACGCGAAACAGTTCGAAATGGTGAAGCAGGTAGCAGAGAGGGTGATGCAAGAGCTGGACGGGGAGGCACGAGGGGGCGCGGGCATGGGTGACCCGCTGCGGTGGTGCATGCACGGAGGGCCCGGCACAGGGAAGTCGCACGTGCTGCGTATTCTGCGGATGGAGGTGTTCGAAGACTTGATGAAATGGACGATAGGCGGTCATTCTCAGATCACGGCCTTCCAGGCAGTCATGGCGCAGCTGCTCGGTGGAGACACCATCCACCACGCCTGCGGCATCCCCGCCGTGAAGCGTGGCGACGAGAAGGGTGAAGATGTGAAACTGCAGTACGAGACAGCCAAGCGAGTGTTGCAGTGGAGGTGGTTGTTCGTAGACGAGATCAGCATGGTGAGTGCCCGGCTGCTCGCCGAAGTGGACCAGAAACTTCGCAGCGTTATTCGGGACATTGGGACCCAGAAGCGCGGGGAGGACGGAGTGACGCGACCCTTCGGCGGTTTAAACGTCGTTCTGAGCGGAGACTTTTGGCAGCTGGCCCCTCCGGACGGAGGGTTCCTTGCAGACGTGCCAGCAGAGCGCATCGCGGCGGCGCGGAAGTATACCTCGCTCCCGCCAGTGCTACGCGGGCAGGCTCTCCTGTGGGGGGGAGGCAAAGTGGGCGTGCAGGGGGGTAACGGAGCTAGTGGAGTGCGAGCGCTGCGACGATGCCTGGCTGAAATCCGTGCAGGAGGAGTTCCGCAGAGGAGACCTCACGGAAGACACGCATTCATTTTTGCACGGGCGTGATGCTGGTGTCCCGCGGAGTGGGCTCCAAGGTGTGGTTGGATGTGGGAACGCGAGATGTAGGGCGTTGTGCGACGCCGCAGGGGTCTCAGAGAAGGAAACTGTCGGAGCACGCCGTCAGCGCGCGATGTCCCCGAAGGAACTACGCAGACAGGAATGTGCGGTGTGCAAGCATGAGCGCGAACGCCGCCGTCTCGTCATCGACGGTCCAGATGACGAGCGCATTCACACGGCGAAGTTCCGGTGCGCCCCCGGGGTGTTCCCGAATGGCGACGTGAAGTATGAGGTGAACAAACTCCGAGCGTCGCAATGCGCCCGACTGCACGAGAAGCCTCTGCTGTACGTTTTTGCGCGCGACACTCCGACACCAGATGCGCTGCGAGAGCGGCCAGATCTCCCACGCCAAAAGATGGCCTGGCTGCAGCGTCACGACAAGGAGAGCGGAGACCTGTATGGTTTTTTGCCAGTCGCGGAGGGAATGCCTGTGGCCCTCACAGATCATATCGACCGCAGCGAGGACAAGTATCTACTCCGCGGACGCGTGGGGACCGTGCACTCATGGGTGTGTGATGGCGACGAAGGAGCAGGTCGCGTCTCCCGGGGGGGAGAGACCATATTGCAGAAGACGCCGAAAATGATATTTGTCCTCTTCGATGAGGGTCGCGATGACGCAGGGAACGCGATTCCGTGCAAGTGGACGATACAGGGGCTGCAGACGCCGGGCCTGTACCCAGTGACCCCGCAGGAAAAAGATTGGTTCGTCGACAAGGGCAGGCCGTGCCCGCGTGTGAAAGTGAAGCGGCGGCAGTTCCCCTTGGCCCCAGCGTTTGGAGTCACCGCCCATTCAGCACAGGGCCAGACTTTTAAGCAGGGTGTCATCGTGGACCTCAGGATTGGCGGGGGCACGTCGCCGTTGTCGAGTTATGTGGCTCTGACGCGCGTGCGTCGCCGCGAAGACATGTTGATATTTCGGCCTTTCGACCGTGCGCCGCACACTCAGAAGGAGCGGAAGGGGCCCGGATTACTGTTACAGGTGTTGCGGGGAGACCCGATGGACTGGGAGGCAATCGAGAAGGAGTTCATGCCTGCAGGGACGTGCGCACTGTGCTCGTCGGTGAAGTACAAGAACCAGTACGCGCTCGGGCAGTGGAGCCGGGACGACGGTCGCCGCGTGTGCAAGGTGTGCTTGGAAGGCAAGAAGAGCATTGGCACGCCGTGGCAGTGCGCGGAATGCTTTCTGTGGAACGGCCAGGATGCTTTCCATGCATCCCAGCACCACAGCTCGAAGCTCACGTCACGGCGTTGCGTGGACTGTCCCGAGAGGCGAAAGTGTTACGTATGCGATCGCCCCCGTGACTCATCCCTCAACCCCCCACCCCCCCGGCCGGATTTCTTTTCTTCTTTCCGCGGGGGGTCAACCTTCGCGGCGACCCGTTAAACCCGGGACCCCTGGCGGCGCATGGATTTCTTTCCTTCTTCCCCGCGCGCGTTGCTGTTGGAACCCCTGAACCCCTCCGACTACCGTACAACTCGCACTTGAGTACAACTGGTACTATCATGTCCTATCGCGCAGTTGTTCCTAGAGAGCACGTTGTCCTGCCGTGCAAATATTCGAGTGCAGCTGGTATCATATTACAGCTGGTAAAATTGTGCCCCCTAGAACAACGCCCTATCGCCAATCCCCAGTACTAGTACAACTCCATGGTACAACTCCCGAGCACAACTCCCCCGTACAATTCCCCGGTTTAAGTGGTATTATAACAACTCTCTGATCCAAGTTCCGAGTGCTAGTACAATTCCCTAGTACAACCGCGATTAAGGTGTTGTTGCATTGCACTTACAGTCTCGGCTCTCACGCTTTTCTTCCTCTGGTTGCGCTTGGGGGGGTGGGACCCCTCGCGCGGGCACCCCCGCGGCTGGGAGTTCATTCCTCTTCCGGAATTTGAGGGGGGGGTAACCCCCGTGCTCGAACCCCATCGCCAGGTTTTTTTTCTTTCCTCCGCGGAAACCGGACCCCCTGGGTTCTTCGGCGCGCCCCATTTTTTGTTCTTTCCGGTTGGGCCTCCATGGGTCTTAGGTTGGAGTCACCCGGGTGATCGTATGCGAGGGGCGGAGGTATGCGGATGCGTTCGTAGACTTCCAATGGGAGAAGGCAGGGAACGCCCGGTGCAAAGGGGGAATGTGCCTTGAGTGCGAGGAGCTGAAGAAGCACCTGCAGTGTTCGCGCTGCGGCGAGCAGAAGTTACTAGATCAATTTGCGAAAGCGGAAACTATTGTCAACGAGGAACCCACATGCAAGGCTTGTATTAAGTTGCAGAGAGAGCAGGAGAAGGCCCGCCCTGCAGAGGCAAAGCGGGTGGTATGCTCACAATGTGGGGAGTCGAAGAGTAAGGCAGAGTTTTCCGCTCACACGTTGTGCAACGTGTCCAAAGCGTCGATTGCGTGTACCCAGTGCGTAGACGCTGCGGCTGCACAACGGGACACTGCGGCGAGGAAGGACGGGAAGGCCTGCGTTGTGTGCGAGGTGGTGCAGCGGCGTGAATGCTTTTCGGAGTGGATGTGGGGCGGCGTGGCCGATCGAGACCGCAAGTGCAAGCGCTGCGTCGCTGGCGCGAAGCTCCCGCGCGGATGGTGGAGATGCATAGCTTGCAAGGACGCTTTCGAAAGAAGGGATTTCAGCAGCTGGTTGGCCAAGCGGACGACGAAGGGTCCGGATGGGAAGCAGAGGTGCAACAAGTGCTTCGCAGATGAAGAGCGGAAAAGGCAGGAGGTCGCCGAGCGAAGCAGGGTGTCGGTGACAAAAAGACAGGACGACCTAGGTGTCATGCGTCGGGTGTGTGCGCCTCGAACCCGCCGGAACAGGGTCATGGGTCGAGGCGGGGGGGGGCGAGGGTTCGGGGGTCCCATGACAGACGTGTCGTGGGCCAGGGATGACGGGGCGCCGGTAGGTTTCGGGCGAGAAATTGTGGGGTGGGAGGTCCCAAGAGCAGAGCTCTCCCGGGGTGGGGATGCCCATGCAGGACGATGCATGGGTCGGACGTGGTGGGGGATCGAGGAAATGGAATACGTCAACAGGTGACGAGAAATTGCGGGGTGGGGGGTGGATGCTGGGCCCGGAGGGGGGCGAGGAGGGGGGCGTTGGTAGGTTTCGGGCGAGAAATTGCGGGGTGGGGGGTCCCGAGGACAAAGCTCTCCCGGGGTGGGGATGCCGGGCCAGGAGGGGGGCGAGGAGGAGCGCGTGGGTAGGTTTCGGGCGAGAAATTCTGGGCTGGGCGGTCCCAAGAACAGTGCTCTCTCGAGGTGGAGATGTCAGGCCAGGAGGGGGGCGTCGGTAGGTTCCGGGCAAGAAATTGTGGCGTGGGGGGTCCCAAGAACAGAGCTCTCCCGAGGAGGGGATGCCAGGCCAGGAGGGGGGCGTTGGTAGGTTCCGGGCGCGAATTTGTGGGGTGGGGGTCCCAAGAACAGTGCTCTGCCGAGGTGAAGGGCCAGGACAGGAGAGGGGCGTCGGTAGGTTCTGGGTGAGAAATTGTGGCGTGGGGGGTCCCAAGAACAGAGCTCTCCCGAGGTGGAGATGCCAGGCCAGGAGGGGGGCGTTCGTAGGTTCCAGGCGAGAAATTGTGGGGTGGGGGGTCCCAAGAACAGAGCTCTCCCGAGGTGGGGAAGCCAGGCCAGGAGGAGGGCGTTGGTAAGTTCCGGGCGAGAAATTGTGGGGTGGGTGGTCCCAAGAACAGAGGTCTCCCGAGGCGGGGATGCCAGGCCAGGAGGAGGCGTTGGTAGGTTCCGGGCGAGACATTGTGGGGTGGGAGGTCCCAAGAACAGAGCTCTCCCGAGGCGAGGAGGGGGGCGTCGGTAGGTTCCGGGCGAGTAATTGCGAGTTGGGGGGTCCGAAGAACAAAGCTCTCCCGAGGTGGGGATGTCAGGCCAGGAGGGCAGCGTTGGTAGGCTCCGGGCGAGAAATTGTGGGGTGGGGGGTCCCAAGAACAGAGCTCTCCCGAGGTGGGGATGCCAGGCCAGGAGGGGGGCGTCGGTAGGTTCCGGGCGAGTAATTGTGGGGTGGGGGGTCCCAAGAACAGAGCTCTCCCGAGGTGGGGATGCCAGGCCAGGAGGGGAGCGTTGGTAGGTTCCGGGCGAGAAATTGTGGGGTGGGGGGTCCCAAGAGCAGAGCTCCCCCGAGGTGGGGATGCCAGGTCAGGAGGGGGGCGTTGGTAGGTTCCGGGCGAGGAATTGTGGGGTGGGGGGTCCCAAAAACGGAGCTTTCCCGGGGTGGGGATGGCAGGCCAGGAGGGGGGCGTTGGTAGGTTCCGGGCGAGAAATTATGGGGTGGGGGGTCCGAAGAACAAAGCTCTCCCGAGGTGGGGATGGCAGGCCAGGAGGCGGGCGCTGGTGGGTTCCGGTGGAGAAATTGTAGGGTGGGCGGTCCCAACAACAGACCTCTCCCGAGGTGTGGATGCCAGGCGATAGGGAGGCGTTGGTAGGTTCCGTGCGAGAAATTGTGGGGTGGGGGTCCCATGAACAGAGTCCTCCCGAGGTGTGGATGCCAGCCCAGGAGGGGGGCGTTGGTAGGTTCTGGGCGAGTAATTGTGGGGTGGGGGGTCCCAAAAACAGAGCTCTCCGGGGGTGGGGATGTCAGGCCAGGAGGGGGGCGTTGGTAGGTTCTGGGCGAGAAATTGCGGGGTGGGGGGTCCCAAAAACAGAGCTCTCCCGGGGTGGGGATGTCAGGCCAGGAGGGGGGCGTTGGTAGGTTCTGGGCGAGAAATTGTGGGGTGGGGGGTCCCAAAAACAGAGCTCTCCAGGGGTGGGGATGTCAGGCCAGGAGGGGGGCGTTGGTAGTTTCTGGGCGAGAAATTGTGGGGTGAGGGGTCCCAAAAACAGAGCTCTCCCGGGGTGGGGATGTCAGGCAGGGGGGCGTTGGTAGATTCTGGGGGAGAAATGGTGGGGTGGGGGGTCCCACAAACAGAGCTCTCCCGAGGTGGGGATGTCAGGCCAGGAGGGCAGCGTTGGTAGGCTCCGGGCGAGAAATTGTGGGGTGGGGGGTCCCAAGAACAGAGCTCTCCCGAGGTGGGGATGCCAGGCCAGGAGGGGGGCGTCGGTAGGTTCCGGGCGAGTAATTGTGGGGTGGGGGGGTCCCAGGAGGGGAGCGTTGGTAGGTTCCGGGCGAGAAATTGTGGGGTGGGGGGTCCCAAGAGCAGAGCTCCCCCGAGGTGGGGATGCCAGGTCAGGAGGGGGGCGTTGGTAGGTTCCGGGCGAGGAATTGTGGGGTGGGGGGTCCCAAAAACGGAGCTTTCCCGGGGTGGAGATGGCAGGCCAGGAGGGGGGCGTTGGTAGGTTCCGGGCGAGAAATTATGGCGTGGGGGGTCCGAAGAACAAAGCTCTCCCGAGGTGGGGATGGCAGGCCAGGAGGCGGGCGTTGGTGGGTTCCGGTGGAGAAATTGTAGGGTGGGCGGTCCCAACAACAGACCTCTCCCGAGGTGTGGATGCCAGGCGAGTAGGGGGGCGTTGGTAGGTTCCGTGCGAGAAATTGTGGTGTTTCTCATATTACGATACATTTTGGTCATTGCAAATTTCTTGAAGGATTTGATCAACATATGCTCAAGGCTTGTATTCAGGATTTGTTGGATTACTCTGCTAGAACTGTTATCCCCGGACAAGCATCGACGAGAGCTCTCAAGATTCCTGGGGTTCAATTGGAAAATCCAACAGCAATGTTGCTACACCACTTACTCAATGACGTTTATATCTGCACGGCTTTGGACGTGGAGATTTGGCCACAGGAGATACACAGTATGATGGGCCACAACCTCGAGCGGCCAAGGCTTCACAGGACAGGTTGATCTTTTACGGTTTCTCAGATGGCAGTGTACGAGTGGAATTGCCGGACGATTGGTTGAGTTGCAGCTCGGAGATTTTGAAGAAGGCGCCTCATGATGACGCACACTACCTTGTACAACTTCTTGGAGAATTACCGCCGGAAGGACATCGACAATACACCAGAAGGAGAGTCGCCGGAAAGACGACTGCTCCTCAAGTACCAACACTTGTAGCACCTCCTACACAATACATCATGAGGAGAGCCACCGAAAAGACTACTGCTCCTCAAGTACCAACACCTGTAGCACCTCCTACACAACAAGAACCTCAGGAAGTTGGTCGAGAAATTGTAAAGATGTCTGGACAACGTCTTGACGCGATCAAGCCCAGTAGACTTTCCAGGCAAGCTGACGAAAGCCTCACCGGCAGAAGAAGATCGACTATTGCGAGGAGTTCACGAGAGATTTTGGCATTATTCTCCCAAGGATATGTTGCGACTTCTTCAGGCAGATTTGTTGCCCAAGGACATCATTCTCACAGGAGTTCAGATTGCTGGAGACTGTCCGATATGTCAGTCACAACAACGACATCTCCATGCACCTACTATCAAGTCCCAGCGCTCGACGATCTTCAACGAGGTCGTTCAGCACGACTTGTTCTTCATGTGGGATTCAACCTTCATGCTACCGATCGACGAAGCGATTCGTTGGAAACTGGAGATCAAGTTGAAAACAAGCTGGGGCCCGCACCTGTTCGCGCACTTGATCGCTTGCGGATCAGATTATGGGGACCCATGCGACATTTACTCTCAGATCAAGAAGGAGGCTTACATAGTGATGAAGCAACGCGGATGTTTGACAGGCTCTCGATTGTACGATTACTTGTCGGACGTCATGGTCCTTCAACAAAAGGACTGGTTGAGCGACGCATTGCCCTGACCAAGTTTGGCATGCTGAAGTTGAAGAAGGAATTGCAGCTAGCGGGGATCAACATCACGGCCGGGGAAATTTGTCAAGAGGTTTGTATGTCACAGAACCTGTTGCTGGAGTACAATGGAGGAACACCGCAGATGGCTCTCACAGGAGTTGAACAGCAAGGTTGGTATGTTCCAGACACCGAGACCCTGGAATCCAGCGTTGGATCATTGAGTTCAAGACCAGACTACATCGAGCAGATGATGAGGACCAGGATGTTGGCAAAGCAATGTATTCTACAAGGACTCAACGAGGATCGACTGGCCATGGCATCACGCATCAATCAGCACAAGCATAGCCACGAACTGCTTCTGCCCGGTACGATCATTGACTACTGGAGACAACCAAAGAGGAAGGAAGATGACGGATGGCGAGGACCGGCAGAACTGATATCAGTGGAACGTTTGGCCGGATCAGCCATTATTCGACATCAAGGACAGCCATTGATGATACCACTCCAACACATACGACGACATGTACTATCGCAGTTCTTCCACAAGTCTATACATCAATTTTACGAGGACTTCTTTTGCAACTATCATGTGGTCAAGGAGACAAGTATCTTCGAAGCAGAACTCGAACCGGCAAAAGAACCTACAGACGAGAAGCAAGTGCGGCTGAGCTCATGGACACTGTTGACGAAGAACCACCTGGCAAGTTACGATGGATTGGCAAAGTTTGCAGAGGTGGAGAATACTTCTTTGTACCTGATCAAGAATCAGTTGACCAATGCCAAGTTCTCAAAATGTGTGAAGAATTGTTTTCAAGCAGTATTTCCTAAGGCACATGGAGTTCTATGTGGAACTAGTCTTCGACGTATACCTCATATATCTCAAGCCTTGGGCAGTTATCCTCAGATGGAACAGACGAGACAGATCTGGCTACCACATCAAGCAGTATGTGCCCAAGATCAGCATGACTTTCAGAGCAGACAAGTTTGAAACTTGGTCTACCGCTATTATATACAGTTTTGATCATCAAGAAGAATTGCAACATGATCTAGTACCAGAAATGGATTGGAGTGATTTTCAAACATCACACCTATTGACGACGCACCTTCGCCAGCTATGGACCAGCCCGACGACGGCGGCCCACCGCCACGCAGAGGGCCACCGGCTGGGCCAGCTCATCCATCACAGGCTACACTACCGGAAGTTTCTCAACCACCTGCTGACGCTGACGATGACATACCTATGCCAGCAGCATCTTCAGGACATCCACCTGCTCCACCGGCGCCTCCGGCAGCACTGGTGCCGATATGTACTGATGATTCCTTGAATGACCCCCAGGACTCATCCTATCCGGAACAATCGATTGCGGTTCCTACGGGCCCAAATCCTACGTTACCTCAGCTTCGACAAGCACCGCCAGATGTTGTTATGGATGATGTTGCAGCTTCTTCCAGCGGAAGACCAGGGCCTCCAGGTCGAGCAGGATCAGGATCTGTTATCTTTGATTTGGCAGCGCCAAGACCATGGAGACCACAAGTACCATTGGCAGGATCTACGACACAGCCTTTACAGCCAGTGCCTTTTCCTGCAGTGCCAATGGGCTCAAGTGCTCCAAGACAGCTCGGACCACCTCAGAATGCCGAATCATTGATGACACCTATCACAACGGCGAGACCGACACCGACATCAGCGCCAGATCCTATAAGTCCTGCGACTGCAAAGGCCACTACGCCACACCCTACACCTTGGAAGACTCATGTACCTACATGGGCACCTGCTCCGAAGCCAGCACGACATAGAGTTGAACCGTACGGCAGTGGCGCGGGCACATCATCAAGTTCATCATCAGGACCATCTACGGCGGCAGCTTTACCGACACCGGCGATCAACTCGCCCCAGGCAGAACACGAACATCCACATGATCAATCAGAACAATCAGGATCAGGAGATTCACAGACTACCATACAGCATCCAGAGGACATGAACAATACTGGAGACCTGGACTATAGTAGTGCGAGTGGACACGACGACAGCCGAGTTTCTAAGAGAGATCACAACAGTAGCAGTGAAAGCTCAACGACTGGAAGACCACCTCCACAGAAGCAGGTCAGGATCAACGACTCCGTTGAGATCATGAACAAGAGCGACGACAAGGTCATGGACGATCAACCAGATCCTACAGCCTCTACCACTTCCGGACCACCGGGACCTTCCGCAGGAGGACCACCCGTTCTTCCCATCGCAAGTGAACCTGCAGCAGATGCATCGCTTGAAGTATCACAACCCACGGAACAAGAAGAGGAACCATCTCAACATTTCTCAACAGGAAGTGTTCCACCAGATAAGGACATGATGAAAGCTCTACTTTTATAAATGCGGATCACAGCCGATATATGACTTCTAGAATGAATGGAAGACTGAAGAGGAAGAACCATCGACTACCATGATCTCGGAATTGATCAACGAGCTCAAGGACCTAGACATCGGAGTACAAGCAGAACAGGAGTACTAGACCTATTCACTGGAGACGTGTATAAGGCCGGAGACGACAGTATGATGCTCACGGGTGAAGACCTTCAGCGGTATCCTCATCTTGTGGGCGAAGCAGATCATCGAGAATTGGAAGCTTTTTGCAATCGCTGAGTTTTCGCACCACGTTTGAAGAAGGATCTACCAGAAGGAGCCAATGTTGTTGATTGTGTTTGGGTTTGCAAGTGGGCTATCAAGCACAAGAAGGTGCAATCCAGAGTGCGCGCTAGAGGCTGTTTCGACAAACAAAAGCAAGCACTCGAAAAGCATTCAAGTACAGCGGCGCGGCTCCCACAACGATTGGTGATTTCTATGGGGCTCTGAAATGGAAATCTGTGGAGCGACGCGGGCGGCCCCTGCGACATCGAGACGGAAAGTTTGGATATTTCTACGGCATTTCTTCAAGGACTGGATTATAGCGAGTTGAGGGCTAATGCCAGAACATTGGGATACGAGTTTCGCCATAAGCGGGAGCGCTTCATCATACCACCGGAGAACGTGTGGAGACATTTTCGTAAGTTGAAAACGGCCATGAAGGAGTTGAAAATACCAGACGCACTACGAGGCCAATATGTCTTACTTTGTTCACGAGCAATGTATGGTTTTACGGATGCACCGCTTATGTTCCAGCTTGCACTTATCTTTCACCTCAAGAAAGAGACGAATGCAATCAGTTTAGTTTTTGACGACAACTTTCTGTATCGGTTTGTTACCACTGACGGAATTAAACATTTAGCGCTTATCATGACGGCTCATGTGGGCGACTTACAGATTACAGGCGGTAAATCCATGAGGAAATGGATTAAGGATGCTCTGACCAGACGTTCTGGTGATATGAGGCTACATCATATACCTTTTGCTCATGCAGGTATCCAGAGTGAACGACTTAATCGAGATTGTCTTCGACTTCATCAGGGCGAGTTTTGCAGCAACTTGGCGATCTACAAGATACCGGAACGTCGACTCAAAGAACCGGATAGTCTCTGACAAGTCGGAGATAACTATTTTCAGATCATTGTGTCGTTCAGCGTTGTGGGCTTGCCAGACACGTTTGGAAGAACTATGTGCAGTTACCAGTTTGCAAATATTTCTTCGGACACCGAAGATGGAGCATAGCATTGCCATCAATTACGTAACCCAGAGATTGCGGCGACCTCTACGACATGGGATATATCTGTGGAGATTACAGCCACCTTTGCGTTTTGTCAGCATCAGTGACGCCTCATCACCGAACAAGCAGAGCAATTTTGCGACAGAAGGCATTATCGCTGGCTTGGCAGAAGATAGGATCGTGAAGATAAAGACGAACAAAGAGGATTTCTTTGACAACGAACTGGTACACAAGCTTGGAGGTAAACTGCGCACCTTGACAGGGAGTTCACAGAAGTCCAAGAGGATCTCGCACATCACATCGCATGCCGAGACTTTATCAGCGGCCAAGGCGACACCGTTGGCACAACTGGTTGCTCTACGATTGTGTGAACCTGAGGTTGCGACGAGAAGGAGTTTTTCAAGACAGCACTCTATTCCTTTGGCTTTACTAGACGTTCAGGAATCAGCCGCAGTACCACTACCAGTGGACTCGTTTATTGATCCATGGATATATGGGAACTTTCTTGCGGTCTTATAGGAATGCCACAGGACAAGAGCCAAATACTTGGAGTCCTTTCGATACGAGAAGAAAGGAGATGCTTGCGCTCGCGACGATTCTACCACATAAGGACAAAGTGGATGTGCGCAGATCAACTCGCGAAGGTATCTGGCCAGGACAGTAAGGAGTTGCATTGTCTGATATCGAAGGTTTCGGATCGAGTGTGGACTGAATGGACATACAGTGACGATTTGCTACACTCGACTTGACTTCAGATGAGGGTATGATAATTCCCTGCTGATACCTAGAACAGGGTATGATGCATGTGCTCAATGCAGTCCCAGACTTGCGGACAGCACGAGACAGAATATCAAATCTTATTTTGACAACATATGATATCTGGACGGTCATGCACATTGGGACTGCGATGGATGTATCAAGATATGTGCAGACACGATTTTGGTATTGCTTATTGTGCGATGTGAAGAACGTCAAGGCTTCACGCACGCTCGCGCGCTCGCACATATAACTTAGACACGCCTATCAAATGCATGATATCGGCTCTTAGGATCCGCTTTAGGATTGAATTTTATAGATGCTCTAGATGCTCTCGAAGCCAAGAGAGTATGACGAGAGCTAGAATTCTGATGTATGATAGGTTTCTCCAGCGGGTCCTGTAAGGAACCTCTTAGGAGCCCTGGACGATTCGTCCCAAAGTATGGTTTCTAGGCTACGCTCCTGCTTGCTTGCCTGCTGATTTGCTACGTGCTATAGCCGTTTGGCTTAGAGGAAAAGACATCTACGATATCATAAGGATTTCTCTGAATACTGACATTTGATTCTCATCAATATCTACTCATGGATGCGATTCTCATCGATATCCCGAGTGGGTTAGGGGGGATACATAATATTGTAACACAATACACTACGTGGCAAATATGCAAGCATTGGACACATTGGATCCATTGCATTAGGGCTTCCGCTCCGCTGCGCGACCCGCCTCCGGTTACAGCATCCGCGGAAAACGCTGCCGCTCAGCACGTCACTTCCGGACGTGGATTATATAGGCTTACGCCACATCCGCCGACCCCTATATAAACGATTGCGCCTCCAGGACTGCATTTCACGAGGCTTGTCCGAATCATGACACGTCGCTCGACATCGTTCCTGTTGCTTCGTTGCTGTTAGCGTACCTCATGGTGATATTTTGTTGCCTTTTGGTGGCATCTTGGCCTGTCTGCAGGCCATATCTGGCCGTTTCGCGGTATCTTGGGCCACGTTTTGCGGCCTCTTGGGGGTTTCCTGGGGGTTTCTTGGAGGTCTGTGAGGTTATCTTGGGGGTTCCTGAAGGCCTCTCGGGGTGTTCTTGGGGCAGGCTGGGGGCGCCTTGGGGCCGAAGGCTCGAAAAGGTGCCCTCTGGACTCCCTCTTGGCACCGTCTGGGTGCCCTCTTGGGCTGTCTTGGGGGCTTCGTGGGGTGTTTCTGGACCCTCCTTCGACCCCTCTTGGAAGCCCCTTCGGCCGTCCAGGGGCGATATGGAAGGTTTCTCTGCCCGTCGTGGACGTTGTGAAAGCCGGAAAGGCGAGTATGCAAAACATGCATGGTTTTTTCCCCAGGGAACGGGACGATTTTAGTTTCTTGGGGCCGTTTGTGGACGCATCTTGGGGTTTTTTGGGGGCGTTTTGGCAGCTTCGGAGGCCGTCTGGATGCCATCGTGGTCGTCAAGGGGCGATATTTCGGCGACTCGTGGCCCTCTGGGACCGTCTGGGGAGCGTTTTGGTCCTTCTTGGCCCGTTTTGGAGCCCTCCGCTCCCCCGTGGCGCGTTCGGTCCGGTGTCGGGCCGGGCCCGGGGTGGGGGGTCAAATTGTCGGTTTGGGGTCCCTGAAGGAATTACGGGGGGGATAATCTCACATGCCTAGAGACCCACAAGGGGTCGGCGGACTTTTGCGTGCCCGCTCCAGGATGGCGCGCTCCGCGCGCATGAATTTCGAGGATGTCAATAGCCCCGCGTTTGTTTTGCAGAAGGATGGTTGGCTTTTTGCGTGCCCGCTCAAGGACGACGCACCCTGCGTGCCGAATATCAGAGGATATCTCGAGCGAAACGCTTGTTTGCAGCGCTTGAAAGGCCTGGGCGCCCCAGGATGCCCAGGCGGTTCTGGGAGTGTAGCCGGACCGTCATTTAATAGGGATCGTGGCCCTGGGAGCGCGGATGCCGCGTAATTCAAGAAGGATCCTGGCCTTGGGAGCGCAGACGCAGCATAATTGACGAGGGATTTCGGCCCTGGAGGCGCGAACCCAGCGTACTTTACGAGGGATCGTGGCCCTGGGAGCGCGGACACTGCGTAATTCAAAAGGGAGCGCGGCCTTGGGAGTGCGGACGCAGCGTAGTTTACAATGGATCGTGGCCCAGGGAGAGCGGAGGCTGGATCGTGGCCTTGGTAGCTCGGACACAGCGTAATTTACTAGGGGTCATGGCCCTGGGGGGCGGACGCGCAATCTGTTTGGGATCCTGCCCCTGGGGGCGCGGACACAGCGTAATTGACAATGGATCGTGGCCCTGGTGGCGCGGGCGCAGTGTAATTTACAAGAGATCGTGGCCCTGTGAGCGTGAACCCAGCGACATTTACGAGGGATCGTGGCCCTCGTAGCGCGAACCCAAAGTTTGCGAGGGACTGTGGCCCTGGAGCGTGAATCCTGCGTATTTTCCAAAAGGATCGTTGCCCTGGGAGCGCGAACCTAGTGTACTTTTTCAGGGACCGGGGCCTTGATATCGTGACTCCCGGGTCGTTTACGAGGGATCGCTGCCCTGGGAGCGCGGACGCCGCGCGATTTACGATGGATCGTTGTCTTGGGTGCGCAGACGCAGCGTTCCCTGGCACGTCCGCTGGCATGTTCCGTGGCGCGTCCCGTGGCGAGTCCCCAGGGCACATCGCGTGGCGAGTCCCCTGGCGCGTCCTCTGGCACGTCCACTGGCACGTTCCGTGGCGCGCCCCCTGGCGTGTCACCGTGCGGCGCGGCGCAAGCGCAGAGAAGCACAACGCAGCCACTGGCACAGTAGCACCACCACTGATACCTGGCATGTTCCATGGCGCCTCCCCTGGGCACGTCGCGCGGCGCGTCTCCCGGCACGTCCCCTGGAACGTCCGCTGGCACGTCCGCTGGCGCACTCCGTGGCGCGTGCACCTGGCACGTCCCGTGGCGCGTCCCCGTGGCACATCGCGCGGCGCGTTGGCCCGTCTGCTGGCACGTTCCGTGGCGCGTCCCCTGGTACGCCGCTGTGCGGCGCGGCACAGCGCAGAGCAGTACAACACAGCCCCTGGCACAGCGTCATCACCATTGATATCTTCAGGATTGCACTGCCCATCGCCCAATTGAGGTGCTTGAAAACGTTTCCATTCCTTGCTGCCCAAAATTCCTTTTTTGTTTCGTGGGTCGATCATGTTTGACGTTAGGCAAACATCAGCGGCGGGACTGTTGCGTTCTTCCTGGAGAAAGTAGCGGCAGGATCAGAGCAGCCAGCTCAGGCACGGAGGCCAGCAAATGAAGCCGGCAAGTGCACGGGCGGACAAAAGGCAGGCCACAGAAAAGGTCATGGAAGAGTGTACAGTAGGGAGCGTCTGGGCACAGCGCATGCGCTCTCCCCGTCCTCGGCCCTCCTCCTCCACTTGCTCCACCCCGCCCTCGTCGCCCTGGCCGCGTGTACTCGCGCCCTGCCCGCCAGGGTGGCGCTGCTCCTCCCCCCCCCCGCGCACGACGCTCCCAGCCTGGCGGGGGCCGCGGGGGGGCGCGCCCCCAGCAGGCCTTCCGAGGCGCCGCGCCCGCGCGCCATGGCGCTTGGCGCGCCAGCGCGAGGCGGTTCGTCATCGTCGCCGCCACTGCGTGCGCCGTCGCCGTCGTTGTCGTCGTGTCCGTGGCCGCGGCCAGCGTGGCTGTCGTCGTCGCCCTCGCACTCGCCCTCGACCTCGCCATCTCCCTCGTCCACGCCGGCGTCGGCGTCGGCCTCGTCTTCGCCGTCCACGTCGTCGTCGTCGTCGTCGTCGTCGTCGTCGTCGTCGTCGTATTCGGCGCCGTCGTATTCGGTGATTCGGTGCCGTTGTATTCGGCGCCGACGTCGGACGTCGTTGGAGGAGGAGGAGGAAGAGGAGGCAGGAAGAAGCGCAGGAGGAGCAGGAAAAGGGCGTCGTCGTCGTCGTCCTCGTCGTCCTCCTCCCTTCCTCCCCTCCGCTCTCCTCCGTCCCTCTTCTATCCCAGCCTCTTCCCTCTCCTCCTGCTTCCCTCCCCTTCCCTCCGCCTCTGTGGCTCCCCTCCTTCTCCTCCCCGTCCTCCTCTTCCTCATCCTTCAATCCTTCTACTCTAGGGGCCCCTCACGGAAGTGGCGGTGGGGGGGCAGTGAAGGAGCGCGGGAAGGAGCAGGGCATGATGATGATGATGATGATGATGATGATGATGATGATGATGATGACGATGATGATGTTGATGTTGATGCGAATGATGATGTTGATGTTGATGATGATGTTGACTTTGCTGTTGCTGCTGATGATGATGGTGCAAATGATGATGATGATGATGATGATGATGATGATGATGATGATGATGATGATGATGCTCATCGTGGTGGTGATGGTGATGGTGATGGTGATGGTGATGGTGATGGTGATGGTGAAGGTGATGGCGGTGATGCTGATGTGATATTACGAAAACATGGTGATATGATGATGCGGTTGTATGATGATGGTGGTGGTGATGATGATGATGATGACGATGACGATGACTATGACGACGACGACGATGGCGATGATGATGATGATGATGCTGATGCTGCTGATGATGATGATGATGATGATGATGATGATGATGATGATGAGGGGATGATGACGATGAGGATGATGATTATGATGATGACGGTGATGGTGATGGTGATGAGTATGACGATGAAGACGAGGATCGTGATCATGATCATGATGATGTTGATGATGATGATGCTACTGCTGCTGCTGCTGCTGATGCTGCTGCTGCTGATGATGATGATGATGATGATGATTATGATGAGGAGGATGACGAGGAGGATCAGGAGGAGGAGAAGGAGGAGGAGAAGGAGCAGGGCCATCGTGGGCCCGAATCGGGCTCCCTCGCGCGGCGGGCCCACGGGCTGGCCCCACGCGCTCCACCCGCAGGACGATTGACGCGTGTGGGTGCGCCGCCATGGATCATCCCGAGTGGCATGCACCAGTCGCGCCGTGTACGGCCCCGCCTCGAGATTCTGAGGACATTCCTCGGAGCCCTTGCGCGGCGGCGGCGATCGCGCCCGCTTCGCGGGCAAAGAAAGACCGATGAAAATCAAACGCGTTGCAGTGCGCCAAGCACTACTAGCCACCTCCGGTCTGCGAGAATGTATCGGGCTACAGGCACAGCAAATCCCAGAACACGGTGCAGACCAAGAGCCTCCGCTGCTGATACTCCGGGAGCTGGTGGCGGCAGTGCGGCGGATTGAGGTCGAAACCAAAGCGTTGCGGCATGGGGCTGCAGGCGATTCCATGCTGCGTGCCGAAGCGTACACACCTGTCGGAGTGCAGATGCTCTGGCTTACAGTCTGCGATTAGACACAGCCCTGTCATGACAGTTCTGTTATCGATAATTTGAGCCATGGAGAAAGCCAGTTTCAAGAGATATGGATTCAAGAATTTGGGTTTGCTGCGAGAGTGGGCCACTGGGCTGGAACAGGAAACGTCCATACAGCGCAGCGGCCCCTGCGATGTTTACACGGATACACCGCACAGCTCAGAAACATGTTTGGCTCAAACCCACCATCTTGGCTCGAACGCATCAGCCAGCAAGATCGGCCCACTTGCGCGAAACGAGCTGGGCCGAAAGGCGAGGTTGATAGAAACACTAGAGAAGAGGCAGTGGTAGCGGGCAGCGGCGCGGGGACGAGAACCCAGACGTCATCGGCTACAGGCTGGAGCGCGCGAGCGCGAGAGGAGTCTGCAAAGTCAGCGGGCAATGATGCGTCAGCAGGCAGTGGTGCCAGGACTGGCGACAGTGCGCCATCAGCTACGGTTGGGGACGCGCGTGTGCGAGAAGAGGCAGCGGCAGCAGGCAGTGGGGCGACGCTGGGAGGCTACGCGTCATCAGCTACAGTCGGGGGTTCACGTGTGCGAGTAGAGGCAGAGCTAACGGGCGCTAAGCAGGAAAACCAGTCGTCATCAGCTACAGGCTGGGGCATGCGTGTGCGGGAAAAGGCAGTGGCAGCAGGCAGCGCAGTGAGGCTAGGAGGCAGCGCGTCAGCAGCTACAGTCTGGGATACACGCGTACGACAAGGAAGGTCATCAGCTGCAGGCTGGGACACAAATGCAAGAGCACCGTGGTGCCAGAGAGCGAAGACACAAACCATAATCCGAGCGCGCGAGAAGTGCCTGACGAACCTGAGCGTGCGCAAAACGAGAAACAGAGTGCTGCATAGAGAGGCGTCCAGCCGATGTCAGCTATAGCCAGAGACGCACGTGTGCGAGAAGAGGCAGCGCTAGTGGGCAGTGGCGCTCAGCAGGGACACTCAGCTACAGGCTGGGAAGCTCGTGTGCGAGAGGAGACGGCAGTGGCAGCGGGCACTGGCACGAGGCTGGACGCCCAGACATTCTCAGCTACGGCCTGGGATTCATCTGCGCAAGAAGAGGTCGCAGTTCTGGGGGCACCTGTGCGAGAAGAGGCGGCAGTGGCAGCGGGCAAACTGTTGGGCACCAAGACGTCATCAGCTACAAGCGCAGCTGCGGCAACTGTCGGAGGGGAGCCGTCCCCCCAACTGCTGGCTGCGATGACCTAGGCAAGCCGTGTGCGTGCACGCGCGCACAACATCCCCATCCCTTTCGAGTGCACCGACGCGGACAGCATCTTTGACAAGGTGAAGCAACACATGCGGTTCGTTGAGCGGGAGGCCGGAGTGCGGGCGTCCCCCAGCACATCCGCAACGGTTCCCACGATCTCTTTGTACGCGTCAGACAAGGTCAGCGATTCATGTTTCGAAGAAGCGGTGCGCATGCTCGAAGACATCTTCGAATACGCCCGCGACCATGACAGCGAAGGCGACGACGACGAGGGCGACGAGTCCGAGCTCTGCGAGGAGGAGCGCACCCACGAGAGCGAGCAGGAGAACCTAGAGAGCGCGCTGGCGTCATCAGCAAGCTTGGACATACCAGTGCGAGAAGAGACGCGCAGCCAGACAGCGCCAGCTACACGAAGGGACGCGCGAGAAGCAGCAGAGGCAGCGGGCAGTGGCGCAAAGCTGGGAGCCCACACGTCATCTGCTACGGGGCGGGAGTTGCGAGAACAGGCAGCGGCCACGCGTAGTGGCGAAGCCTGCAGGTTCATTGTGCGAGAAACGGCGGCAGCCGAAGCGGGCGGCGAAGCGAAGCAGCAGGCGAGACGCAGGGTCTCGTTCGCACCGACCGCGAGGTTCTGGGCGGCGAGGACGAGTTCAGCGAGTTCGACAACCACTTGAACGACATCCTCTGAGCGGGCACGTCCGTCGACGGACATAGGCCCGAGAACCAAAGGACCAAAGGAGGAAGAGCAGGAACAATATGGCAGGAGGGAGGTGAGTATGTGGAGATAGAGGCATACGTGGAGGAGTCAGCGGAGGAGGAGGAGGAAGAGGAGGAGGAGGAGGAGGAGGAGGAGGAGGAAAAGGAGGTGGAGCCGCTCCCGCCCACCCAGGCGGGCCGGCGGGCCTCGCTGCGCTGCTCTGCCTCCTGGCGCGGGCGCGCGCGGCGCCCCTGGTCGCCCGTGGCGCGGAGGTCGTCGACCGTTGTCGTCCTCGACCGTCGTCGTCCTCGTCCTCGTCCTCGTCCTCGTCCTCGTTTCGTCGTCGTCGTCGTCGTTTCGTCGTCGTCGTCGCCGTTTCTGTCGTCGTCGGCGTCGTCGTGCCCGTTTTCGCTCTCGTCGGCAGAGCGGGGGGGCAGAGGAGGGCGTTGAACAGGAGGGTGGTGGCGGGGACTCCCCCCCGTTCCCCAAAACCGTTCCCTTCTCTTCCTATCTACTCGAAGCTCGAAGTTGTGGACTGGTTCCTTGTGTTGAAACGAAGCCCTCGTCTCCGTCTGCGAGAAAAAATGGGGGAGTCCTAAAAAGGATGCTATGGGGGAGTCAGATGGGGAACTTCCGGGATAGTCCTGGGGTGGGTATAACGGGGAGTCCTATTTGAGGGGGGGTCCTATGTAGACGGGCCCCGCTTGCCGCCCCGTGTGCCGTATGGCACGTGTTCCACGCCGTGGAAGCTGAGCGGCTCGTGGCCTTCTCCGCACCAGCCTGCTCCGCAGTCGGCACCGAGGTTCGGCGCGACATGGGGCGGCGGCGGGGGATGTGGGAGGTCTTGCCGTCGGGTGCGGGGTCGTCGCGCGAGGTTGAAGCAGCGCCGTTCGGGTTCTCTGGCCCGCTCCACGCGGCCAGACTGAACTGAAGCTCGCGTTTGTCGACGGAGTCAACGGTGGCACCGTTCATCGGCGTCCACCGAACATACTAACACTATATGTGCGTCGCCCCCCCTGGGGCGACGGGCGCACCCAGAAATCTTATAGTGTATGCGCCGTGGCGGGCGCTTTCTGGCCACACCGTTCGGGGAACGATCTATGACAATATGGGTAAGTATACTATATGGTCGGTTCGGATGCACGCCTCCAAGGAGGACATATAGTACTATTGTGTCCTTGAGCGTCCCAGTTCAGGTTGTCCAACCCGCTCCTCGCGGCCAGATGTAACAAGAGATCGCGATCGTCGGTTCGGGCCACGCCGTCAACCGCCCATGCCGGCTGGGGCCATGCCGTCAATGGGCGCCGTCTTGTCGTCCGAGACTCGGTCGTTGGGTTAAGTCGGGCACGTCCTTCTTTACAGGAAGAATATTCAAGAATAGTATAACATAATAGTAAAACAAATATTGGTCTGCTTGCGATGTTTCATGCTCTTTTTCATTATGTTGACTATTGTTACTATGTTTCGATCGTTGTTCCGTAATTCACCTGTACGAGGACATGCCCGACCTGATCGTTGGGGGGTCGGTCGCGGGTTCGGTCGTTGTTGGGGGGTCGGTCGTCGTTGTGGAGTCGGTCGTTTTGGGGGTTGTTCTTTGGGGGGTCTATCTCTCGCCAGGCTGTAGATGCAGCTGGCCTTCGCCGCCTTCGTTTCCACCCCCAGTGATTTGTTCAGTGCCGCCAGCTGCTGGTGCAACACTGTTGGGTTGGTCGCGGCTGCCGCTGCCTTGGCCACTGCGGCCCATGCTGGACACAGAAAGGGCATGCTGGTCGGCGTGCCGAGCACGACGCATGCCGCGACGGCCAATCCCAAACCCGTGGGCCTCGAGCTGGGTTCGCGCGGCCACTGGCAGCGACCTTGCCCCAGTCACCGCCCGTCCGCTTTCGGCGCCTGTCGGTGGGGCTCGGCGCGCAATCGTTGTCTGCAGCCGCGGCAGCCCTGCCGAAGCAGAGGGCTCGCTAACCCTCTTCGAGGGCCGCACAGTGCTCGCCGCTCTTGCATCGGGTCGGAGGTTGATAGACCTCCTGCCCTGACACGTCGATCAGTGAATTGGCTGGTTTCGGTTCGCGAGAGGGCGTCGCGGCCGTTATTTTTGCGGGTCCTAAGCCGTTTTCATTAAAGGGAGGTTTACTAAAGGGAGGTCCTAAGCCGTTTTCACTCCCAAGCCGTCGGTTCTAAGCCTTAACGTCCGTCGGTTTCGGTCCTAAGCCGTTTTCACTACAGGGAGGCTTACGAAAGGGAGGTCTGTCCACCGCCGATCGGGGCTCAAGAGGCGGGGGCTAAGACAAGCGGAGGAGGAGGAAGAGGAGGAGGAGGAGGAGGAGGAGGAGGAGGAGGACCAGGAGGAGGGAGGAGGAGGAGGAGGACCAGGAGGAGGGAGGAGGAAGAGGAGGAGGACCAGGAGGAGGAGGAGGAGGAGGAGGAGGAGGAGGAGGAGGAGGAGGAGGAGGGGGTCCGTCAGAGCGCCGGATCTTGCGCAGGACGTTGCAGGGTCTTGCAAGGCCTGATTGGCCCCCGGTTTCGGATTGGCCCGGGTCGGCAGGTCCCCGATGGAGGTGAAGTCCAGGCGGGCCCAGTGGAAGTTTGTCCCAGGCCGTGCGTTGCGCCAGCTCGTGAAATTGCTTCAAGTGTTGCTCCGCTGCATCGATCGGCGGCGAGCGAGGGGGGAAATGAGAACGAGAAGGCCTTCTCAGAAGGCTGCGGGACTTCTCAGAAGCCCTCGCTCGCGCCTTTGAGAAGCTTTCTGTGTCTTCGGGGAAGGATTAGCATGAAAACTTCTCAGAAGGCCGGGGGGCTTCCGAACCTTCCAAAAAAAAGCCTTCTCCTTCTCGCTTCCCCTCCTCGCTCGCCGCCGATCAAGTGCTGCTTCGCTGCCTCGGGGATCGCCACCTGCCGCTCCAGGCCCGCTGCGTGCGCGCCCCCGCCGGCGGCAAGCTTTTGCCTGCCGGGCCGAGGAGCTGCCGGGCGCCGGCATGCACACGAGGGCCTGGGGCCCCTGCGCCAGGCTTGGATATCTGCGGCTCGGCCAGGTCGCGCGGGAGGGGCCCCTCGAGCGGCTCTTGGTCGCGGTTCCCGCTGCGCCGTCGGGCCAGGCGCAGACGTAGGGATGCGGCCCAGGGGGCTGCAGCCACGAGGCGGCCACACAAGAGGACGGGGTCGTCTGCGCCGACATTGGCGCATATGCTGCCCGCGTGAGGTCGCGCGCGAGCGCCCTCGTTGCCAACGTGGCGTGCCGCGCTGGCGGCCCGCGTAAGCCGCCGCGTAAGGTCGCTACGTCATTTCGCATAAGACCCGTTTGCGATCGTCGCTCAGGTGCGTTTGCGGTGCCGGCGCTCGGGGCCATCGTGGGGCCTCAGGCCCAGCTCGGACATGCTGCGGTCGGACCGAGGTGTAAGGTCGAGGTGGGTTCGGGGAGGTGCCCTCTTGCTCGCCGTGTGGAGGTGCCCTGGAATGATCTTCAGTTTGGCCGGCGGAGGTTCTCGTGGATCGCGCTCTACAGTCAACCCGCACAGTAAGGATGGGCAGCCTTCCCAAGGATACCCTTGCATCCTTGCCTCCTCGGCCCATCCTTGGCCACTTTCGTTGGCCGCGCCCCGCCCGAAAAGCTTCGAGATGGGCGTCCTTATCGCGCATCCTTACTATACGGGTTGACTGCAGTTTTGGCCTGCAGGTCCTTCGTGCGCTGACGGCCCCACAACTTCGGGCATCGCCAGCCCCTCGCGGAAGGCTCGGCAAGGAGCTCCGCCCCTCGTGGGCGCCGCGGGCTTTGGCGCCCCGGCGCAGAAGAAATCGACGACATCGAAGAATCGCGAGGTCGTCAGAGACGTGCGTTTCAAAGAATCGATCGGGGGTGGGCAGACCTCCCACCCTGACACGTCGATTAGTGAATTGCCCGTTTTCGGTTCTCGAGAGGGCGCCGCGGCCGTCATTTTCCAGGCTTGCGCCCGCCAGGTTTGGGCCCGAGGTCGTTTTCACTAAACCACGTTTTACTAAAGGGGGTTCTGTCCATCCACGAATCTACATCTGATTTCGATTAGAAAAATGTGTTTATTATAACTCACGCACATATCTCAAGGAACATAACATGTTGGTTAAGGTTGTCTTCTTCAGCACCGACCACAAGAATGAAGGCATTGTTGCCGAAGAGGTCCCCCTCGCACTCGGCGACCAGCCCCACCGTTGCCCTCTGGGTATTCGAAGGTCCTCACCCCGCCGTTGCGAACTTGCCGCGGGAAGTGGGAGACGCCGGGGGGGGTCAAGGGAGGAATAAACACCCGAATCCGACAATTGACGTTTGCTAAACGGCCGTGGGTGTTTCCTAAACAAGCCCTGCCTTGCTCGATTCCTGTATTGGGTGCGTTTACTAAGCGGCTTCGCTTGTCGGGGTGATCATTCGAGGGGTAGATTTTCTGCCCTCTAGGGGACGGTGGGCGAATTGGACGATGTTCGCATCCTCGGGCCCAGGCGGCACGCCGAGATCCAGCTGGAGGGCCTCGCGCACCTCGGGTCGTCGGAGGTCGTGCTGAGAGCGTGGGCCTCGCGCCACCACTGGTTGGCTGAGGTGCTTCACGGGCTCGTTGGCGGGTTCGCTGGCGCCCCGCGTCCCACCGTCGTCTGGTGCTGGCGAAGATCTCGAACGCCCGGATGCCCCGGGCGAAGGCTGGCCGTCGTAGCAGCGGCTCCGTTTTTTGTTGAAGTCTTCTCTGCGCCTCCTCGTCGATTTGATCCAGCTGCGAAGCGTCAGCAGCGTGGTCCAACGCGAGCTGCGTTTCGTTCTGCGCCCTGCAGCGTGGGCTTACCTGGGGGCGGCTCGCTGTTGATGGGCCTCCGCGTCGGACTCCCGAGTGCTGGTCCCCCGTGGTGCGGATCTCGTGGAGCGTCTTGCCACGCAATGCCCACGTCTGCACTACAGTCAACCCGCATAGTGTGGATGGGCAACCTTCCCAAGGGCACCCTTGCATCCTTGCCTCCTCGGTCTATCCTTGGCCGCTTCGGCTGGCCAACCTCGTTCGAAAAACGTTCACGTGGCACTCCAAGGCCCTTGCATCCTTCCCGCGCATCCTTATTATACGGGTTGACTGTAGCTCCTGCGCCTGGCGCCATCCGGCGGCGCCCGTGGGGGCTTGCAGCGCTTGCGTATGTCCGCGGTGTATGGTGATGTGGCACTCGCGGGAGGTGGCCGTCGCGGGCAGGGTCGAGTCGATCTCGACGTGCCCGCAGCGGTCGACGCGCCAGACTCGCAGCGCGACGCCTTCCAGCGCCACGATTTGGGAAACGGCCACGCACCTGAAGTCTTCTTCGACGCCCCAACGCACCGCGCCGTGGATGCGCATGCGCATCTCGGCCCCGCGCCGCGAAGTCCACGGCGGGGCTCCGGGGGGGCCGCTGGAGCGGCGCTGGACCCCCTTCCCCAGCGCGCGGAGGCGCGAATTCTTGGGGGTTGGGCGCGCAATTTTTTGGGGGGCGACGAGCGGGGGCGGGGCAGCGAGGGCTGCAGAAAGGGGCCCCCTGGCGGCCTCGGCGGCCTGATCCCCGAGGTCTCTCGGGACTTCCGGCGCCCGCTCCTCGACCTCCCGGCCCCGAGGGCCCTGCGTTGAGTCGGGCCCGTCCCTCCACAGGGGGAATATTCAAAAGTAGTTAAAAAATAGTCTGGGGACTATGTTTGGGTATTTTGACCATTTTGGGAGCGTTTTTTTTGTTGTTCTTGTCATTTTTCGTCGCAAATCCCCCTGTATGGGGGACGCGCCCGACTTAAGCCTTGCGTTCCCGACGCGCTCGGGCCCGTCGCCCGCGCTCCCGAGTCGCGAGCCCAGGGTCGCGTCCAGCGGCAGGGTGTCTTGGAAGTCGAGCCTTCGCGTTGCCCTTCCCGATCTTGCTCTCCAGGCCCCAGCGGACTGGGGCGATCTCCACGCCGGGCTCCGCCCCCAAATTGCCCGCCCGCGCGCTCGGCGGCGGGGCGTCCAGGGCGGCGCTGGCCTCGGCCTCGGCGACGGGCGTCGGGCCGCCGCCCGATCGTAGCTTCTAGCGAGATCTGCGCGACGGTCGCGGCCTGCCCGCCCTCGCGGGAGCGCGCCAGTCGCCAGAGCGCGACACTGCAAGTGCTCGCTGCCCCCCCCCCGCGGTGATTGGGTCCAATTGGGGTCGGACCTCGTCCAGGAGTGCCTTCCGCTTGACTGATGCGGGGTCCTTACTGACCGCGGCGCCTTCGCGCCCGGCACCGTCTCTGGGGCCGATGAGCCAGGTGAAGGCGGGCCCCCGCAATGCTTCGCGCAGCTCGACCTCCAAGGCCGCGCGCTGGGCGTCGACGTGCTCCGGTGGGGGTGGCCAACCGCGCCCTCCTTGCCGCTCTTGTCCTGGCGCGGGTCCTGCGGCTTCCTTGCTGTCGTCCTCAGCGCGGGCCTGCGCCCTCAGCTGAGCCGCCCGACCATCGACGCCGGCCGGGTCTACTTCGGAGCCGTTCCCGAGGCCCCCCCGCTTCGGGGGCTGGCGCGGGCGGTCCAGCGGCGGTCCTTCAGGCCCCGAGTGGGCCCGCGGCTGCGGGCGCATTCGTTCGCCATCTTCTCGCAGCCAGCCCCTGTGCAGACGACGGTTGCGCAGATCGCATCCCCCCAGGGATGGCGACGTCTAGTGTGAATCTGGGTAAGGCGTCACTCCGCTGGACCCCCCAGCAGCCTTCGAAAGTGGCGACAGTTCTGCAGATCGCAGCGCCCCAGGGATGGCGAGGTCTGGTGTTAATCTGGATAAGACGTCACTCCGCTGGACCGGACCCCCCCAGCAGCCCTCGAAAGTGGCGACAGGTCCGCAGATCAGAGTCCCCCTTGTGGCAAGGTTCTGTTTGAATATGGGTAAAGCGTCACTCCGCTGGACCCCCCAGCAGCCTTCGAAAGTAGCGACAGTTGCGCAGATCGCATCCCCCCAGTGATGGCGACGTCTAGCGTGAATCTGGGTAAGACGTCACTCTGCTGGACCCCCCAGCAGCCTTCAAAAGTGGCGACAGTTGCGCAGATCGCAGCGCCCCAGGGATGGCGAGGTCTGGTGTCAATCTGGGTAAGACGTCACTCTGCTGGACCCCCCAGCAGCCCTCGAAAGTTGGGGCAATTTTGCAGATCGCAGCCCCCCAGGGATGGCGAGGTCAGGTCAGGTCAGGTAAGCCTTGCACCAGACGGTGCGTGAGCAGGGTGAATTCGAAGATGCGGCCTAGTGGACGAATGCCTTTAGCATCCGGGCCAGCCTTTGACGGCCTGCTCCCACGCGCGAGCTGCGCCGCCCTCTGGGCGGACGTAGGCAGCAAGTCGATCGTGCGAGCCGGCGACTTTCAGACAATTGTTCCCTACTAGATTTCCCCACGTCTGTCTCGGTATGCCTCGCCTTCTTGGGCCTGCAGTATCCTGCAGTTCTACGGAGAACAAGCGAGTCCGGCTCGAATGCTGAAGCTCTGACAGGGTCCGTTCCTAGTCGGCGTGCAAGTTGGCCCCATGAAAATCGTCTGTCGCCTGGCGAGGCAGTCACTCAATTTTGACTGTTTCGATATGCTCAAGACACTGGCGTTGGACACCCGGCTGATGAACCCCAGGGATGGCGAGGCCTAATCTAAATCTGGGTAAGACGTCACTCCGCAGCCCCCCAGGGATGACCAGGTAGGAGGCAAGCTGGCACGCAGGAAGGAGCGCGATGAGAGGCAGGAGAGAGGGGGAGAGGGGGCGGGAAGGTGTGCGACTGCAGTGCTCTATTCAAAACGAGAACCCAACGCGGGAGGGTTGGGAACGAAAAAGATGGTCCTTGGTCACGATCCCAACGCCGCCCGGAATGGCAGAAATCGTATCATCGGACATTTGGGACCCTCGATCTTCGTGTCCCCGGACTTCTCCTGGAATGCGTTCTGACCAGAATTTCGAGGGGAGCCCAGCTGTGGTGACGAGGGCTTTCCAGGACGAGCAGCAGTATCCGTATCTGTTCGTCGTCGCCGCCGTTGCCGCCGTCGTCGCTGTCATCGCCGCCGCCGCCGCCGCCGTCGTCGTCCTCGTCCTCGTCCTCGTCCTCGTCCTCGTCCTCGTTTTCGTCGTCGTCGTCGCTGCCGTGGCGCGCCGCTGCCGCCGCCGCCGCCGTGGCGCGCCGCCGCCGCCGCGGCCGCCGCCGTGGCGCGTCCGCGCGCGACGTCGGCCAGGGGCCGCCCGCGTGCGCCGGCGGCCTGGTGCAGAGGGCGCCAATCGTATTCTCCTGCGGCGGGTCGGGCGGCGGCCACAGGGCGCTGTTCCTCGCGGCCAGCGCCCCGACGCAGCCGTCGCTGTCGTCGTCGGCGGCGGCGTCGTCGGTCGCCGTCGTCGCCTTCGTTCTCGGAGGAGGGAGGGGAAGGAGGAGGGAGGAGGAGGAGGAAGAGGAGGAGGAAGACCAGTGTACGCCCAAGATTCATCAACGATATTAGAATATGCCCTCCCTCCGAGCTCTCCTTCCATAGGCCCCGATAAGGGTTGATTTCCACACCGTTCGAGGACCCTGAAGCGTGCAAAAAAACATGATCGGGATTCCAAAGCAACATATCAACATGATTGTTGCGTATTGACGATCCAGAATCGTGCTAGAACACCATTCTTGGAATTTCAACACCGCGATCCAACAAAATTCTTTACGCTTCGCGTATCCCCACCAGCCCATCTCACAGCAGCAACTCTTGCGAAGCATGCCGACAGTCGTGTTTTTCAGGCGTGTGTCCGCTTGGCCCCGCATATCTCCCCTGTTCCTCCTTCCTCCCGCCTCCTTGTACATCCTCCTTGTGGGGGGAGCGGGAGAAGGACGAGGCGGAGGAGGAGGGAGAGAAAGCGCTCCTCGTGATTTGAGTCGTTTGGGGTTTCTCGTCCTGGTGTGAGTCGTTCGGGCCCTTCTTCCTGGTGTGAGTCGTTCGGGCTCTTCGTGGTGTGAGTCGTTCGGGCTCTTCGTCCTGGTGTGAGTCGTTCGGGCTTCTCGTGGTGTGAGTTGTTCGGGCCCCTCATCCTGGTGTGAGTCGTTCGGGCCCCTCCTCCTGGTGTGACTCGTTCGGGCTCCTCGTGGTGTGAGTCGTTCGGGGCCCGCGTCGTGGTGTGAGTCGTTCGGGCTCCTCGTGGTGTGAGTCGTTCGGGCGCCTCGTCCTGGTGTGAGTCGTTCGGGCCCCTCCTTGTGGTGTGAGTCGTTCGGGCTCTTCGTGGTGTGAGTCGTTCGGGCCCCTCGTCCTGGTGTGAGTCGTTCGGGCTCCTCGTGGGGCCTCTTGGGGGCCTCTTGGGCCTCTTGGGGCCTCTTGGGGGCCTCTTGGGGGCCTCTTGGGGGCCTCTTGGGGGCCTCTTGGGGCCTCTTGGGCCTCTTGGGGGCCTCTTGGGGGCCTCTTGGGGACCTCTTGGGGCCTCTTGGGGGGGGCCTATTGGAGGCCTCTTGGGAGCCTCCTGGGGGCCTCTTGGGGCCATCTTGGGGCCTCGTGCGACCTCCTCAGAAGCGCAAATGAGCGCTGCCCCCTGAGAAGGACAAAATGAGCCCAAAACCTTCGTAAAATCAATGGTTTTGCTATGAAGGAAGAGGAGCGCGGCCCCCTTTCAGAAGGCCAACATGGGGCCAAAACCGTAGTAAAATCAATGTTTGTTGCTTCAAAGACGAGCTGAGGGACCAAACTTCCCCCCCCCCCTCGGGGCCAGAATCCTCGTGAGGGTCGTCGTTTTTTGGCTTTCCCAGGCGTCGAAAAAGACACCCCCGGCGACGCTCGGGAATCCCTCTCCAGGTCAAGGGGGAGGGGGTAGGGGGAGGGGTAAACCCCTCCCCGAAGGGGAAGAAGGGGGGTTGAGGACAGAGCGGGCTCTCTAAACCACTCACGCCCAAAGGGCTGGTGGGATTGCTGCGCCTTCACAGTTTTGAGTCCTTCCATAACAGCATTCTTGGCGTGTTAACCATGGGAACCGGTGAACATTGAACATCTTACAAATATTTAAGACGAGTGTGCGCGGCGCTCACGCGAAAACCACATTTTGAAAACGGCCCGCCCTCAACCCGTGAAATTATTGACGGTTGGCGTATCACCACCAGCCGTGGCCATTCTGTGGCACCCCAGCTGTGTGCTTTGGCCTGGGCACGACGATCTACGACAAGTTCCGGCTCATCGGCCAGGGTTTTCAGTACAAATGCTCCTCTCCGCCTCATCTTAATGTTGCTTATCATATCGCTTGCCTTGCTGCGCACTGTATTGTATGTTCTCAGAACGGTTTTCCTGCCAATGCGTCTGAGCCGCAGAGGGTGAAACACCTCGTCTGTCCAGTGGTGCCTAGACGCGCCCCGTCCTGGGCTCGTCTTTCCAGTCTCCCTGGGGCTCCGCGGACTTTTTGGCTCAAGCTCGCTTCGCTCGCGCGGTCCGTGTGCGGCAGTTCTTTGGTGCTGGATCGCCGCTGACCGTGTTGGTCAGCAGGGCCGCCTCCTGGGCATCGCCTGGAGTGTTCGAGGACTTCGCGGATTGCGCGCTGCAGCACGCTGTCTTCGGGGGCGGGCCGACACTGGGCCTCGTGCGCCTGCTGATTGGCATCCTCATTGGCTGGTGTTCTTGCGGCTGTGTCTATGGAGTCTGGCAGGCGGCTCGAGCCCTCTTTCTTGACCTCAGGAGCACGCGTGCTGGCGAAGTATCAGGGAAAGCGCGAGTGGCACGGGAGGCTTCTGGTTCGTCCAGCGAGCAGGAAGATCTACAGTCAGTACGCTGGAGCCGACCCCCCCCCCCCCACCTCGAGGATTTGCGGTGGATCGTCACGCCAGACATGGACGTATATCCGGAGGCGCTGGAGATCGGCCCCTTCTCAGGGCTCGCAGCCCTCCACAAGAACAGCTCTCAAGTGGAGGGGAGCTTGGTGGGGTCAGGGTCTTGCCTCTCTCACGTGCGCGGCTTCGACGGCCTGCCGACCTACGTTGAGATGAATGAGATCCTCAGCGAGTGCGAGGCTGAGGAGGGCGACCGCTGCGACATCCCGATTGCTGACAGCGGGGGCCAGCTGGTCGCCGCAGGGTTCGCCGGGGGCTCTGGCGTTCTTCCCAAGCCCGGCCGCGGCGCCTGGAGGGCTCTCGCCTCCTCGCGCGGCGGCCTTCGAGGGGAGGTCGGAGCCGTCGAGTGGGACCAGTACGTGTTGGCTGAGAGCCTCGGCCTGGGCCGCTCTGGTGGCGAGTTTGTGCTATTCAAGTGCTTCAACGATGAGGATCACGGCATGGGCGACCTTGTTGACTTCGAGGAGCGTCCTGAGGTCGGGGGCACGTCAACGCCCCGCGAGCTCGACGCCCGAGCGTTGACCGTGACGCGCGACGGGAACGGGATCCGCTTCCAAGATTTCAGAGAGGGCGTGAACCAGATCTCCAGCTCGGACTGGGGTGGGTGGCCGCTCTCTGGCCCTCGGACGGTGCAATGGTGCTGCAACTACATCCTCCAGACCGACGGCCACCCTCGCGCCCGCCACACTCGGTGGAAGAGGGGTGCGGGCCTAGGCGCGGGGGACATCGGAGTCGCAGAGCACGAGGTCGCGATGCGCTGCCTGGAGAATGCGATCTCCTACGATCAGCTCAACGTGGGCGAGCTCGCCTGCATGGAGCTGTTGCTCAGGCGGGCCCAGCTGTCGGAGCTGAAGCACAAGGGGCGCTTGCTGCAGGTGGGCGCTGCCAACGACTACGGCGCCGACGAGTACCTGTACATGGGCACGAACGCCACGAGGGGCCAGGTGATGGTGGCGCCCGAGCTCGAGGAGTTCGTGTCATCACAACTTCAGAAGGAGGGGTCCGTGCTGAAGGAGAGGAGGAAGCTCATAGAGGAGCGCTCGTTGCTCCGCCCCGTCCGCTAGCACGCCGCCTCCGGCTCTGGCGACACCGCTGCCGACGCCGCGGCTGCCAAGCGCAGGGCCAAGAAGGGCGGCGGCAGAGGCGAGGGGGCGGGGCAGCTGCTCCAGTGCATCTCGGCTTGTGTGCCCGGCTTGGCTGCTCGACCTTGCTGGGTTTCTGACAGAGCAGGCTGCGTTCGCAGCCAGCACCTCGTGGGCCTCCCCATGAACGTGCCTCGGGAGCTCTTCCCTCTTCCCCTTCCGTTTCCTGATTCCAGTGGCAACGACTTCTTGGACAGCTCGGCTGCTTGTCGCGCGGTCCGTCGACGAGCCAACGCGAGTGCTAATTGGCGTTTGTGGGCCAACGAGACGACGAGGAGCCTCAGCCGCATGCGCGGCTGCTCGGACTTCGACTCGACGGTCTACAAGCCGTCGGTCGGCCAGCTGAAGATTTTGGAGCGGATCTCCGATCTGGGCCTTTCATGGGCTTTGCGGCGCCCGAGCGGGGCCTGGTTACGACCTGGTCGACGCCCCGAGGGCGAGGTACCAGCCAGGGTTGGTTTCGTTGCCTGATGAGGGTGGCCTGACCGACGGCAGTGCTTGCTTACGTGGTGCTGCGCATGACTTCTGGTGCCGATGGCAGGAACTCTTCTTGGCGAAGGAGCCGGCCTCTGATGACAGTGTCCCCGAGAAGCCTCATTCGGACTCTGCCTTAATTCACAACAAGTGGGAGTACGCTAGATTTTGCTCATCGTTGTTCAACGCTAACATGTTGGAGGTTGGTGACTACGAGGAGCCGGCCGTCGGAGTCTTCTTTGTGCTGAAGAAGGATCGCTCTCTCAGACTTATCCTGGACACTCGGTGTGTCGACAGTCTCTTCGTGAAGCCGAAGCATGCGCATTTACCATTGCCAGCGGCCTGGGCGGCCGTCCGCACCAGGGCTGACGCTCCACTCTACCTCGCTCAGATGGACGTCAACAGTGCCTTTTTCAGAGTGCGTGCACCTCCTGGGCTCAGCAAGTTTTTTCGGTTGCCGCCTGTCGACGTGGACGCCCAGCGCGCAGTGAATCCTACTGCTGCCCAGGGCCTCTCGGGCAAGAGGGCCACCCCGCGTCTAAGCGTGCTTGCTATGGGCTGGTCTTGGTCATTGTATTTCTGTCAGGAGATGGTGAGCACGGCCACCATGTCTGCTGGTTTCTTGGATTCGGACATGTTGCTTGACAAGCGCGAGAGCCCCAACTTTCGGGAGCTCGAGCTGAGCACCACCAAGGCCGCCGTCTATGTGGACAACGTCGGCGTCTTCGGCCAGGACAAGTCCAGCGTCGACAACCAGAGCCATGAGGTCCTCTCTGCTCTGGAGCGCGCAGGGCTAGCCTGCAAGGGCGTCGAGCGCGCGGGGGGCCAGCAGGAGTTCACAGGGCTTGTGATAGACTCCACCTCAGGTACCATTTTTAGGATGTTTGGTAAAACTGATGGATCTCCCCGTTTCCAGAACTGGCGCGGGCTTCCACTTGTGTTCCCCTTGCTTCTGCCCTTGCCTCTTTGCTTGCCCTTTCTCGCTCCCTCTCTCTTCACCGCCGCTTGGCGGCTCAAGCCTTTTCAAGGCCGAGCTGGGGGTCGGCCTCAGTTGGCCTAAGGCCGGGCCCCAAGAGGGCCAGAAGACTTCCAGGTCCTGGGTCCAGGCCTGGCAGGGGCGCCCGCGGCCGCATGATGCCGCGCCTGGCGCCGCGCGGCTGGGGGGCGGCAGCGTCGCCGCCCGCGAGCGCGCAGCTGCGCAGCGGCGGGGGGCCCGGGCGCCGAGCGGCGCCGGCTCACGCCAGCCGCGGAGCACCCGGAGGCGAGGCGGCATCCGCCGAGGCGAAGCCGCCGGACCCCCCCGCCGAGCCAGCGACCAGGCGCGAGCCCGCGCCGGCGCCGGCGCGGTGCCAGGCAAGGGCGGCAGAGCGCGTGCGCGCGCCGGGGCCCACCTGGAGGAGCTGCCCCAAGGCCCCGGCGCTGCCGCCAGCCGGCTGGCGCTGCGGGCGCGCGGCAGCCCTGCTGCTGATCCTCGTGGTGGCGGCCGAGGCCGCCAACGCCGACCACGAGGCCGAGTCCGCGTACTTCGACGACATGTCGGACGTGGACATGCGGGCGCTCTGGCTCGACGGCACGTTGGCCCCCACCTCCGTGGACACGCCGCCGCTCGGAGCGCACCCAGCAGGCGAGCATGCAGCTCCCGCGGGAGGTGCCGGAGGAGGTCCGCCGCGCGGGCGCCCCGCGCCGCCGGCCGACCCACCTCCCCAAGGCCCAGCCCGCACTCCCCCCGACCCCCCCGACTCGGACCCGTCGTCCTGGATCAGGGGTTGGGGTCTCTTCGGCATCCGCTGGAGGGACATCGGCAACCGCGCGCATTGGTTCGCCGAGGGGATGGGGGGAGGTACCATTCGGGCTGTGGGGAGTTTCAGGTCCGCCTTCTCGACTCGCGAGGCAGGAGGCTGGCTGAGCTCCGACGGCGGCTGGGTGCTGTACATGGCCGACCAGGTGGGCCTCTACCTGTTCGGCTCCGCGTGGCCGCTGATCGCCGGGCTCGTGGCGGTCCTCTCCGGCACTGGCGTGGTCGCGCTCCTGGCCCACAGCCTGAGGACGCTCTTCGCACCCTGCAGCTGGGCAGCCTGGACATGCGGCCTGGCGCTGGCGATGCGCAAGACGCTTGGCGAGGCTAAGCTTGACAAGCTGGTCCCGCCGGCGGCGCCGCCCCTCGCCGACGCGGCGTGGCACGGCCCAGCTGTGGGTGCCGATCCGACGACCGACTGGTGCCGCAAGAGCATCAAGGAGGGCAGGGGCTCCAAGCGCGGCCAGAATGACCTCATGATCAGGGTCGACTACCGGGTCGCACGGCCCAAGCTCAACATGAAGTCCCCAGAGCGCATCAATCGCCAAGGATTGTGGGTTGAGTATGACTCTGTGAAGGGCGCAAGCGACAAGGGCTTCAGGCGCGAACTGGAGCAGCGAGATCCGCGCTGGCTTCACCTGTGCCGTTCCACCAGCTGTGCCGGGTGCAAGGGGCGCGAGAACGAGCTGCACTGCAAGGAGTACGCCGCCCTTGACAGCGAAGCCATCGTGGATCTCGGCGACTATTCGAGGTTCACGCCCTGTCGGATTTTCGTCTGGCTCTGGAGGTGGTTGGGCCTCGTCTACAAGCTGCTGCTGTACGTCCTCTCGTGGCTCTCGTGTTGCGGGGCGTGCCTCTGCCGCCGGCGACGCCGCCGTCGCAGGACTGGCGACGCGGAGCCCGGCGCGCAGGGATCGGCGGCAAGGTCGCTTGACCAGGAGTCCGAGTCCGAGGTAGACGCCGAGGACAACCCCTGCGAGGCGGTGAAGGCGGGGCTCGTGATCAAGGGCAAGATGCGCCCACTAGCGCCCGAGGGCTGTCGGGGCGCCGCGCGCGGCGATCCAACCGTGCTGTTGGTGGAGGATGGCCGGGCTTCGGACCTTCTGCTTCCGAGCGAAGGGAGTGCGACGGCCTGCCTTTGCGAGCATCACAGGCAGATCTACATGGTCCTGCGCTACGGCGAGAAGTGCTCTCAGGTGACGTGCTTCCGCGAGGCGGTGGGCATGGCTTCAGGGGCCCCACTCTGCCTGCAGCACCTCGGAGGCGATGCCGCCCGGGCGCTCCACGACAACCCCACGGGAGTTGGGTTCCTCACGGGGCTGCGGCGCCGAGCTCGGCGGAGCCCGGCTCCGCGGAGCCGCGCGCCGGAGCGTGCAGCTGCAGCTCCAGCCCGGAGTCGCACGCCAGAGCGCTCCGCCCCGACGACCTCTGCTCCAGAGGCGCCCGCCAGCCCTGGCGACCCCGTCCCGGCGCCGGCTGGGCCGCCGAGCGTGCGCTTCGAAGCGCCGCCGGTTCCAGAGTCCCCCAAGCCGCCTACTTCGCCACCCATGCCTCTCGGGCGATACTTCATCGCACGGGCGAAGGTACATTGGCCAGAAGGAGCGCAGTGGATGATTTTCAGAGGGAGGGCGGCTGACGCCGCCGCGGCCAGCGCAGTGGCTGAATACCTCGACGGCGCGTTGGCCCTCGAGGTGGAAGACCCGACCGGCCCCGCCATCCGCTTTCTCGTGAAGCCTGACGGCGTCATCCGCGCACCGTCCCCGGGACCTTCCGGGCGTCTGCCAGCGGCTGCCAGCGGGGTTCATCGAGGAGATGCTCCACCACGCGCCCATGGGCTGCGAGGAGCTCGGCATCAGCGTCTCGGCGACCAACGTGCCCGAGAAGGTCTGGCACAAGCTGGCGGCGTGGCACGGGCTCCCCGTAGGTGGGCGAGCTGGGCCGCTCAGCGAGGCTCGCTGGCGGCTGCTCCGTGAGAAGGTGGTCAGGTGGCACCCCGAGGGAGGCGTGGCGCCCAGCCCGAGCTTCGAAGCGCGAGCTGCAGAGGCGGATGCCAAGCTGCGCAGCCACTGGCAGCGGCTCGATCGCAGCAGCTCGCCCAGGCCACCCTCTGGGTCCACGCGTCGCGGCTCTCGCTCCCCGTCAGCCGAGGGCGGGCGGGCAGCGAGTTCCGAAGCACCCATATCAGGAGAGAGCCATCAAGGAGACGAGGGCGGGGACATGATGGCCTGCTACTTGGAGGAGAAGGCCCGCGGGTCGAGCGACGCAGCGGCAGTGCAGAGTGTGGCCGCCGGCTTCGACGAGGAAGCCTAGCAGGTGCTCGCTAGCCTCATCCGCTACGCCCAGTGCCTCAAGCAGCAGACGGCCGAGCCAGAGGGGCTCGCGCGGCTCGATGGGCACATCGGCAGTTGGGAGGTGCTCCAGCAGGTGCCCTCACGACCGCAGACCCCCGAGGCGGCGCCTAGTAGCCTTCAGGGTCTCCTCAAACTCCCGCCCGAGCGCCGCCGCTCGCAGGGGCCGCCGGCCACCCAGGCCGACAGCGCGCCCCTGTTCGAAGCGCGGCCGCCCCTCTCGCCAGCCGCCGCCCCGCCAGCTCTCACTCTCGGGCCACGGGGCGCCGGCCTCCCAGCCCCCGCGGCTGGGCTGGCCCCGGTCGTCCGCCCGCAGGCTCCGAACATCGGGGCCCTGTTCCGCTACGACCAGCACATCAGCGACTTGGGCCTACCCCCAGGTCTGACCACAGCTCCAGCGCGCTACGCCGCGGGGGCCCCGGAGGAGGGCGGGGGCAGCGACCCGTTCGGCCTCGCGCATTCCGGAGCAACCCTGGACGCGAACACCGCGAGGATGCTCCACGCCTTGGAAGGTGTTGCCAGTGCCCGTCAGGGTGACAAGGCAGCCCAGCGTGGGACGGTGGCCGCGCTGGGGAGAGTCGAGGAGTTGGACGTCTACCTGGCGCGCGGTTGTGGCCAGCTGACCGTGGAGGTCTGCGACGAGGTTCTCGGACGCGAGCTGTTCTACGCTCTGCGCCGGACCTGTGAGCAGAACAAGGCCCTGATGCTCGCCGTCGAGACGCCCACGACAGTGTCCAACCGGATCGCGATGGCCTGCGCCTCGCTCAGCTTCGGCGGCAGCAGCTTGGACAACTTGGCCCCGTGGTCGGCCTCCGTGGCGGACTTCCCGACGTGCAAGACGGTCGCGTTCGACAAGTACAGCGCGCCGCGCGTCACGAAGCTGGAACCCAGGCCCAGGGCCCCCGTGGTCTTCGACCAGTGGAAGCGGCAGGCCCAGAACATACCAGGTTCTTTGGGCTCGTCTTCGGACGAGAGCATGTCAAAGAGCGTCTGGATTGCTTGGAGACCCTCGCGCGGGAGTGCGAGAAGGACGACCACGCCTTCCCGCCCAAGTTCGTCTACGAGCTGTGGGAGGAGCTGTGGGCGACCTGGTGTGAGCGACTTCGAGAGAAGAAGCGAGGCCTCCTGCGCGTGTTGCAGACAGACAATCCTCGGAAGGAGGATCTCAAAATGGTGGCCTTCGCTCCCAGGTCGGACGGACGCCCGGCGTTCGTCTTTCCCAACGTCTTCGACCTCGAGTCCCCCACGGGCTACTACCAGGAGGTCGTGCGCCCGCGGCAGCAGCGCTACCTCCAGACCGTCCTCAACGACTCGATGCACGGGGTGCGCGGCGCCCCGGGCAAGGCCGGGGAGGTCAGAGGAGAAGGAGACGAACCTGCTGCGGAGCCACAGGAACAACGAGCAGGAGCCACCCCCAAGAAGAAGCCCAAGGCCAAGGCCCAGCCGAAAGCCAGCTCCGCACGAGCCGCATACCCTGCGGGCAAGCGGCTGAACGCCCAGGAGATCAAGCTCTCTGTCCGGCACGCGCCCTGCGACAAGCAGGGCAAGCCGCTCTGCTGGGACAACTCGACCTGGATAGGCTGCAAGAAGGGTGCCCAAGGGTGCTCGCATTCGCACGAGCTCATCAAGGGCCTGAAGGACGTGCACTGGACCGTGCAGTGCCAACTCCTCAGGCGAGGTGGGTTCCGCAACGCCGCCAAGATCGACCCAGCCTCGGTCAACGGGAGGATCGCACAGCTGAGAGCCCAAGCTAAGACCGAGGCTGACAGCAAACGGGCTGCAGGTGCGGGGGCAGCGGAAAGCCAACCTACCAAGACAGGCTGGGCGCCGCCCGACGAGTACGCCGAGGTTCAGTGCACCGAGCTTGAGTCAGAGCTTCGTGAGGCCGCCCAAGGGCCCGACGCTACCTGGCTGGAGGACCCGCGCGCCGACAGCCCGGCCCTGGTTGGGACGGGTGTCTGCACGGACGAAGGAGCTTTGGCCCACCGAAAGCTGCTCGAGGCCGTCCAAGAGAGCGGGGTGCTCGACTCCGTGAACCACGCCAGCGACTACATGCGGGAGGGGGAGGAGGAGGGGGAGGAGGAGGAGGAGGAGGAGGAGGAGGAGGAGGAGGAGGAGGGGGGAGGAGGAGGAAGTGGAGGAGGAGGAGGAGGACGAGGAGGAGGAGGACGAGGAGGAGGAGAAACAGGCTATCCCACGTAGTGGTTAGGAGGAGGAGGATAAGTGGGAGGGGCACGAGGAGGAGGAGGTGCAGCAGGAGGCGCTGGCCCGCTTCTCTCCCTCCCTCGAGACTCTCTTCCTTTGCTTCTGCTGTCCCGCGTCTGGTCTGGACCGTGTACGGTAGGTTCGTGTCGTATCGACGCGGTGGTGACCACGCCGCGGGCGTTCAGGATCGAACGCCGCTGGTGGGCCGCCGTTCGTTCAAGGTTGAACGGTCCACGCGGCGTCAGGCACCAACGCCAGGGTCGTCCTGACACGAACTTGCCGTATGTGGGCATCGAGGCGGCGAACAACAAAAACACAAGGGGGCGCAGAAGAGGGACCCAGGGAACCCGAAGGAAACGGGTAAGAACAGGAGGCACCAATCTCCAACCAAGTAATTACACCAGAGAAAAACCTCAAACAGTGGATGGTTTTCGCTCAGGAGATCGACTTGGAACCCGGGAGCCCAGGTACCCAGAACCCACCGAAATCGGCCCAGAACCAATAACCGGGAACCCGGGAACCCAGAACTGGGAAACCGGGAACCCAGCTTGCTACCAAAATCGGCGGGAAATGTTCGCCTAACCTTCCAACTTCCGCGAGGACCCCTTCAGTGCAAGCACTGATTGGGGGAAATACAGTTGGCCCGGATTAGTAGGTCGACCCTGCCAAATCAAGGGTACCTTTGTGTGTCCTCTGTCTCGCGACCCGTACCTCCCGCATTCCTACGGCAGTGTGGCCCTCGGAAGGGTCTTTTGTCCTCTCGCGTGTCCTGTCCATGGAGTCCGACTGTACCTGGGCAAGGGGCGCCGCAGAGGAACGGCACCGCCCACCCCACGGCCGAGGCCGCCGGCGGAGCGCACAAGGCCTTCGACGTGCCGGCCGGCGTGTCCGAGCTGGTGCTGTCGATGGCTCCCGAGGTGGGCGCGGTCGCTGCCGATGCCGACCGCCGACGCCGACCTTCGACCGCACTGCGGCCACCGGGTACCGATCGCAGGAGGACGACGAGGACGACGACGACGAGGACGAGGGCGAGGACGAGGACGAGGACGAGGACGACGCCGACGACGACGAGGACGCTGCCGACGCAGACGCCAACGCCGACGCCGACGACGACGAGGATTACGACGACGACGACGGAGGTTGGAGGAAGATTCGGGGAAACGTAAGACTCGAGTACGCCAGGACTCAGGCTTGCTTGGAGGAAGAATTCACTGTCGTCGTTATCGTCGTCGCCGTCGCCGCCGCAGTCGCTTCCATCATCTTCTGTCGTCGTCGTTCGCCGTTCGCCGTCGCCGTTTGCCATCGCCGTCGTCGTCGCTGCCATCGTCGTAGTCGGGTCGAAAACCGTACCTGGGAAGCTTCACGCCCAATCTGGGAAATCGGGGACGCCTACCAACTTTGGAATCGGCCGCGGCGTATCCTGGAGACGACGGGCCGTACCCGGAAAATGCGAGCGCCGTAGTCTGGAAAATTGCGGCTGCATCGTGGGCGTTGTTTTCTCGGTTGGGGCGTTTTGTCTTCGGATTTGTTGGGTGCGCCGTGGTTGTTTTGTCGTCTCGTTGTATATCACTGAAGAGGGGAGCATCATGTAATTTGTTTTCGCACCGCTGCGTTGTCGCGTTACGAATGGAGCAGACCAGCAACTGTTCCGCCTCCCCTGCGAGGCCACGTTTCGAGTAGAGGCGACTAGCATTGTTTCCGCCCCATTCGACGAGTGGAATACAATTGCTCCCAACCATCCTGTGTTGTTGGGTCCTCGTTTTGAAGAGACAGCGCCGCGCGTTCCTCTCCTTCCTTCCTCATCCCCCTCCCTCCTCCCAGCATCATTATCATGCTCATCAGCATGTTCATCAGGATGATCACCATCATCATCTTTATCGTCGTCGTCATCACACCATCATCGACAGAACGATCATCTTAAGTATCATCATCACCAGAATCGTCACCATCATCGTCACCATCATCATCGTTATCGTAATCGTCATCATCAGCATCACCACCACCATCATCATCGTCATAGTTACCGTCATCATCATCATCATCATCATCATCATCATCACCTTCACCTTCAGCTTCACCTTCACCGTCATTATCATCATCATCAGCAGCAGCATCACCAATATACTCATCGGCGTCATCAGCATCGTCATCATGATCATCATGGCCATCGGCGTCATCATCACCATCATATTCGCCATCATCGGCGTCATCATCACCATCATCGTCATCAGCTTCGGCACACCCCTCACACGTTTCGTGGCCCCATAGGGAGCTCCATCGAATGCCCCAGTGGCTGCGCCCGCATGCCTCCCCCACGCCCATTTCAGCGCACCCCTCACACGTTTCGTGGCCCCACAGGGAGCTCCACAGACGGCCCCAGTGGCTGCGCCCGCACGCCTGCCCCCCCCCCACCACCACCCATTTCGGCGCACCCTTCACGCGTTCCGTGGCCCCACAGGAAGCTCCACCGAAGGCCCCAGTGGTTGCGCCCGCGTGCCTCCCCACCACCCGTTTCGGCACACCTTTCACGTTTCGTGCCCCTTATAGGGAGCTCCACCGAATGCGGTGCATACAACGACGGTGTTCACAACTGCACATGGTTGGGTCCTTCGCCATTCTATTATAATCGTTTCCCAGATGTTGCCATGCGAAGAGTAGAGCAGAATACGGTATGCTTCTGCCACCCTGAGTTGCCACGCGATGGGTCGAGTAGAACGGTATGTGTTCTTCCTTGTTACCAACGGGATGGGTCTTCAATGCTACCTCTTTTTCCCTCTTGAACGGAGGGCAAGCCCAGGCTACCTTTTGACGCCCTGCTGTCGTCGTCGTCACCGCCGTTGTCGTTGTCGACGTCGGCGTCGTCTTCATCGTCGTCGTCCTCGTCGTCGCACTCGTCGCCTTCGTCAGGGAACCCTCCCCCTTTGTCGAGTGTGGCGAAGGGAAGAACGGTTCCCCCAGGCGTCGCCATGTGATGGGTTCGAGCAGGCTTCGCTTCGGTGTCACCTCTTTACGATGCCACGTGAGTAGAAATATAATGATTGTTTGTTCCGCCGCCCCCCTGCGTTGCCACGTGGCGAGTAGAGCAGGATAGTAGTTCCGCCTCCCTACGTAATCACGTATCGTTGTCGTTGTCGTTATCGTTTTCGTCGTCGGTCCTCGTCTTCGTTGTCATCGTCGCCGTCGTAGTTGTTGTCGTCCTCATCGTCGTCGTTATCGTTGTCGCAGCCGTCGTTGTCTTCGTCGTCGTGGTCGTCGTCGTTGTCATCGTCGTCGTCGTCATCGTCGTCTGGGACACCCCCTGTCGCATGTTGTGAAAACGGACGACTATTCCCCCAGGCGTCGCCATGTGATGGGTAGAGCATCATATTCTTCGGTGGTCCCCGCTTCCGCGCTGCAGCGTGACGAGTAGAGTAGACTAGTTATTTTTTCGCACCCGTGAGTCCCCAAGTGGCAGGTGGGACAGGCTAGTTGTTTCCGCCCCCCTGTGTCGCCACGTGGCGTCGTCGTCGTCGTCGTCATCCTTGTCGGTGTCGTCCTCGTCGTCGTCATCGTCGTCGTCCTCGTCGCAGTCGACGTCGTCGTCGTCGTCATCGGGAACATCCCCCTGTTTCGCATGTGGCGAAGAGGGAAGACTACGTCCCCCCCGTCCGTCGCCATGTGCTGGGTAGGGCATAGTACTATTTGGAATCCCCTCTTCTGCGCTGCAGAACAGGATAGTTGCGTCCGCCCTCCTGCATCGCCATGCGACGTCATCGGCCTCTTCATCGTCATCCTCGTCGTTACCGTCCTCGTCGTCGTTCTCGCCGCCGCCGCCGCCGTTGTCGTCCTCTTCGTCCTCTTCGTCGTCGTCGTCCTCTTCATCATGTTCGTCATCGTCGTTGTCGTGATTTTCCCCGTCGTCGCTCTCGACGTCGATCTCGTCCACATTATCAGCATCGTCCGATTCCGTGCCCTCTTCCTGTTTCTCATCCTCATCCCCTTCCTTATCGTCGTCGTCCTAGTCGTAATTGTCGCTGTCGTTCTTGTCGCTGCCGTTGTTGTCGTTGTTCTCGTCGTCGTCGAGTCGTCGTTGCTGCTGTTTCTGTAGTCGTCGGCGTCGTCGTTGTCACTTTCGCCGTCGTCTCAGTTGTCGTCATCGTCGTCGTCGTCAGTCGGTCGTGTTAGCAATGTAGTGATCGTCGTCATCTTCGTGTTTGTCGTGGGCGGGCGGGCGATCGAACGGTCGGGCGGGCGGGCAGGAGGGCGGCCGGGCAGTAATGCGAACGGGTGGACGGGCGGCTTTCTTTTTCCCAACCATCCTGTGGTGTTAGGTCCTCGTTTTGAAGAGACAGCGCCCCGCGTCCCACCTCCTTCCTTCCTCCTCCTCCTCCCCCTCCTCCCTCCTCCCCCTCCTTGCCTCTGCTCTCGGCACACCTCTCACACATTTCGTAGCCCCATAGGGAGCTCCACCGAAGGCCCCAGTGGTTGCTCTCGCATGCGGTTCCCCCACCCAGGGCAGCGTTTCGTGGCCCCATAGGGAGCTCCACCGAAGGCCCCAGTGGCTGCTCTCGCATGCGGTTCCCCCACCCAGGGCAGCGTTTCGTGGCCCCATAGGGAGCTCCACCGAAGGCCCCAGTGGCTGCTCTCGCATGCGGTTCCCCCACCCAGGGCAGCGTTTCGTGGCCCATAGGGAGCTGGCAGTTCCCCCACCCAGGGCAGCGTTTCGTGGCCCCATCTCCACCGAAGGCCCCATAGCCAGCAGGGCAGCGCTTCGTGGAAGGCCCCAGTGGCTGCTCTCGCGTGCGGTTCCCCCACCCAGGGCAGCGTTTCGTGGCCCATAGGGAGCTCCACCGAAGGCCCCAGTGGCTGCTCTCGCATGCGGTCCCCCCACCCAGGGCAGCGTTTCGTGGCCCCATAGGGAGCTCCACCGAAGGCCCCAGTGGGGGTGTTCGCATGCGGTTCCCCCACCCAGGGCAGCGTTTCGTGGCCCCATAGGGAGCTCCACCGAAGGCCCCAGCGGCGCAGTTCGCACGCGGTTCCCCCGCCCAGGGCAGCGCTTCGTGGCCCCACAGGGGGTTCCACCGAAGGCCCCAGTGGCGCAATTCGCGTGCGGTTCTCCCACCCAGGGCAGCGTTTCGTGGCCCCATGGGGAGCTCCACCGAAGGCCCCAGTGGCGCAGCTCGCATGCGGTTCCCCCACCCAGGGCAGCGTTTCGTGGCCCCATAGGGAGCTCCACCGAAGGCCCCCGTGGCGCACTTCGCGTGCGGTTCCCCCGCCCAGGGCAGCGTTTCGTGGCCCCATAGGGAGCTCCACCGAAGGCCCCAGTGGCGCAGGCATGCGGTTCCCCCACCCAGGGCAGCGTTTCGTGGCCCATAGGGAGCTCCACCGAAGGCCCCCACTCGCAGGGCAGCGTTTCGTGGCCCCATAGGGAGCTCCACCGGCGGCCCCAGTGGCGCAGTTCGCGTGCGGTTCCCCCACCCAGGGCAGCGTTTCGTGGCCCCATAGGGAGCTCCACCGAAGGCCCCAGCGGCGCAGTTCGCACGCGGTTCCCCCGCCCAGGGCAGCGCTTCGTGGCCCCACAGGGGGTTCCACCGAAGGCCCCAGTGGCGCAATTCGCGTGCGGTTCTCCCACCCAGGGCAGCGTTTCGTGGCCCCATGGGGAGCTCCACCGAAGGCCCCAGTGGCGCAGCTCGCATGCGGTTCCCCCACCCAGGGCAGCGTTTCGTGGCCCCATAGGGAGCTCCACCGAAGGCCCCCGTGGCGCACTTCGCGTGCGGTTCCCCCGCCCAGGGCAGCGTTTCGTGGCCCCATAGGGAGCTCCACCGAAGGCCCCAGTGGCGCAGTTCGCATGCGGTTCCCCCACCCAGGGCAGCGTTTTGTGGCCTCATAGGGAGCTCCACCGAAGGCCCGCCCCAGTGGCGCAGTTCGCATGCGGTTACCCACCCAAGGTAGCGTTTCGTGGCCCCATAGGGAGCCCCACCGAAAGTGGCACCCACAACTTGTTACGAACAATTGCTTATGGTTGGGTCCTTCGCCAGGATAATTTGAAGGTGGGGGGTGGTTTCGGAAGCTGCTCTCCTCCCCATTTGTCGAACTGCGCCAAGTCTCGTCGTTGTCGTCGTCTCGTCATTGTCGCCGGAGAACCACCTCTCTTGTGCCGCATGTGGCGCAGAAGGAAGAATCTATTCCCCAGGCGTCGCCATGTGATGGGTACAGTGGGGGCCCATGGCAAGAAACAGCCTGCATTTCGTCAGGGTTCCTGGGGTTTCTTTGGCTGGCGTTCGGCGCGCAAGATCGCCGCAATCTCGAAGAAACCTGAATTGCCAGGGCACCCTGATTTCTTCGCCCCCTCTGGCCTGAGTCAAATGGGCACGAGCTTTTCTTCCTGAAAGAGATGTCGTCGCCTTTTTGTTAGTGCAAGGCACGAAATTCGCATTTTCGATCGCCTTGGGTTTCTTGACGTCATGCTTGACGCCAGCAGTCAAGAAACCGCTCGGGCCAGGGTGCCCTGGGTTTCTTCGTTTGCAGCCGAAGTGCAGGAAACTCAACCCTGGACCAGGAAACCTAGGCGGATTTCAAGGTTGGGTTTCTTGCGGTGGGTTTCTTGTGGATCGGCCCCCACTGTAGGCCGGATATTCTTTCGTTTCCCCACCTTCTCTGCGATACTACGTGAGGAGTAGGGCACAATAGTATTTGTTATTTCCTACTACGTTGCCATATGGCCCGTATAATGGAAATTTTGTTGACGCCTCCCATTCGTTGCAACTTGACGTGTCGAGCATGCCACAATTTGTTTGCGCCGCTTTTGCGTCGCCACGTGACGTCGTCGTCCTCGTCGTCGCCGTCGTCGTTGCCGTCGTCGTCGCCATCGTCGTCGTCGCGCGTAGAATTGAAATGTTTGTTTGCCCCCCCGTCCCCCAGTTGTCGCCATGTGAAGAGCGGATCAGACTACTATGAATGTTCGCACCCCCGTAGACCAGCATTTTTCCGCCTTCCTTGCGAGACCAAGTGACGAGTAGCGTGGACTAGTACTGCTTCCGCTGGCCCTGCTTTGAGCGGGCCAGGCTTTCCCTCTTTCCCGCCGCCGCCGAACGCCTCTCCCTCCTCCTCCTGCATGGTGGCCTACTTCGCGTTCCGTGCGCCCCACCGACGCCACTCTCGCCAGTGCAGTGACTCTGCCTAGCCGCCGACTCAAAAAGTACTGCTTCCGCCCCCCCTGCGCTGCCATGTAACGAGTGGAATACGAGTGCCTTTCTCGCCGTCATGTTCTGGAAGTGTCTGACCAGACGGCGTTTCCCGGGCATGCCGGGGAAGAGGGAGGGCAGTTCGGACGGGTGACGTCGAAGGATGAGGGATGATCACCGAGCGCGTTCCACTACTCGCAAAGTGCCTACTCGCAAACGTCCGACAAGAAAGAACATGCCTCTATGTAATGGATCGTAAATCCCCCTCGGCGGATTCAGCCCGTTTGCGAGTAGCCACTCTGCGAGTAGTGGAACGCGCTTGTCCAGATGAGGCAGCTCGGAGGCTCCCCTCGAGTCCCAGCCCTGTCCTGGCAGCGTGTCTGCCCGAGCGACACTTCCAGAGTATGGCGGGAATGGGGGAGGGGTACAGTCGGCCCGGATTAGTAGGTCGACCTTGCCAGCTCAAGGGTACCCTTGTGTCCTGTGCCTCGCGACACGTGCCTTCTTACATTCCTACGGCGATGTGGCCCTCGGAAGGGTCTTGTGTCCTCTCGCGTGTCTTGTCCAATCAAGGCCGACTGTAAGAGCGGTGACGTCGATGGGGGAGGGCCGAGGGAGGGCGGAGCCTGCCCTCGATTCCGCGCGAGGTCCTGGGAGTGGATAGATGAGGTAGGTTGGAGCTGTTCGATTCCCCGCATGGTCTCAGAGCATCTGGCCGGAAGGATTTCCGTGTCGGGAGGGTGTCGTCGAGGGAGGAGATGCGAGGGAGTGAGGGTGATTTGTCGAACATAATGAGGAGGGAAGAGCAGGATTGATGATATTGAGTGAGGATGGTGCGAGGGAGGTCGGAGTCTCCTTTCGATTCCCCGCTATGTTCTTGTCTGGCCAGAGGGCAGAACACGACAGGGAGGAGGGACGTGCAAGCAGTATGAAGTGCAGGGATGAGCAATGAGGGAGGTCGGAGCTGCTTTTCGATTCCACGCAAGGTCTGGCAGTGTTTGGCCATAGTGATTTTCGCGTCGGGGTGGCGTCGTTCAGGCAGGGGAGGCGAGAGAGTAGATATGAGACATGATTCCGAGCTGCGGATTTCTGGTGCATTGGCGCCGCTATTCTGGGTCACGGGCCGGCATATCCAGGGTACGACGCGCTGTTTCCGGGGCACGGACCGTCGTTTCCGAGTTTGCGTTTTCCCGTGCACGGTTTTGTTCGGACGCCGACCTCGTCGTCGGCGGTGCCATCGCCGTCGTAGCCGCAGTCGTATTCAGCTGCCGTCGCCACCGTCGTAGCCCCCGTCGTTGCCGCCGTCGTAGCGTCGTTGTTGTTGTCGCCGACGTAGCCGCCGTCGTAGCGTAACTGTCGTTGTCGTCGTCGCCGTCGCCGCGTAGCCGTCGCTGTCCTCGTCGTCGACGCCTGGCGCCGCCTCCGCGAGGTGGGCCCTCCCAGTGGAGCCCCCGCGGCCGCCAGCGGCGACGTTCGCCTCATGATCTACGACAAGGCTTCGGGCTCGTACCTCGTGAG